TTGGGGAAACTTTTTCATGAAGCCATTTTCATGTCTAGCGATGATCTCAAATTAGGCAAAATAACAAGAGATTTTTGCAAAGAGTTGTTCGTCACAATTATCAATACGCTGGCGTACGTCACAGATACTGCCGATTTACTTCCCTTATTCGGTTTGCGGTTTATTTTATTCTTTAAGCTAAGTTTAGAGTCAATTTCTTACCTTCCGCCTCATTCACTCTAAAATCAACTATGGTCATACAAGTCGCAAACCCATTCTATATAAAATAAAAAAACAGCACCATTGCCCATCTTATAGCCTTAACCACATTATACAACTAGTAACTGCTAGTACATATAAAATTAAAAACACTAATGTGGACTCTTCATGCACGTCAAACAGCAAGTAATTGAATGTTTCGCTTCCATTTCCTAATGAAACATGCTAAGTGGTTCATTTTTCTACATGAATTCAACTGTGATTTAGTTGCAGCCATTATTAAACAAACTTGATTGATCTTCGTAGACAGGGGCCCCTGTACTATAAGCCGAAACTTCATAAGTCGATTCTTAGCTGAAATGTATTACAACACTTCTGAATAAATATTTACAGCTAGATTGCTTTGCGATAACCGTTTCTGAGACCTACGGGTGTTACTGAATGCAATAAGAAGAGATCGATATTCCATTGAAAACATAAAATATTCATTTCACTATATAATCATCAGAGTAAACTATAAATAAATTCAACAAACTAATGAGCTTAAAGCATCATTAAGAAAACAAAATCAAACTAAGCATAGCAATCAAACAGTTTGCTAAGGAAATGGAAGACAATAATCCAGCAGATCCCCCAGCAAGCGGAATAATAGGACTGACAACTGGACCGGTAGCACTGGTAACTTGCGATGTAATAGTAGTTGGAATATAAGGCTTGCTAATAGTTCCAGAATCAGCAATTGTGGAATAACCAGTGACTTTTTGACCATTCGCATCAGTAGCAGGATCGGCGTCACTTCTCACATTTCCCAGAGGGGGGACTACGATTGCTGTGACCGCAGTTGGAGTACCATCTAGACGAATTGTAGTTGTAGTAGCGGATGGAATTTGACCTTGGGCTGTTGAAGGTGTAACAAATACATCAAAAGTCTCTGTTGAAAGAGCACCATCAGCGAAGTGTGTAAGTACTGTTCGTTCACTCCTATGTAACGTCATAGGATCGTCTCCATTGATGATTAACTTCGTGTCTGTAGTTTGAGTCCCCCCAAGGGTATATGTTTCAGTAGTCCACAGAGTTGGAGGGAAAGGAGTTGGTTGGATTGGTGCTGGTGGCACATTTGAGTCTGGAATCAGATTTATACTCCTTGTAATAGGATTCTGGAAAGAAGGAACAGTTGGTACGACGGTGATGGTTGAAGTTGTATTTGTGAGATCTGTTGTGACTGTAACTGGCCCAGTAATAGTAGTTGAAGTAACAGTTAATGGTCCTGTGCTGAAAGTACTAGTTCCACTAGCTACGGTAACAAAGCTAGGAATTGGGGTATCAGTTGTATGAATAGTTGAAGTTATGGACGTAGATAACGTAGTCTTTGTTACCGTGGTGATGGGTGTACTGGTGGTAAGAGTTGTTTCTGTGGGTTTTCTGCTACTACGAGAAGGATCGGGACTTGGGGTAGAAAATGAGTCAGTAGGAGAGACCGGTGAAGATCCTGGAGATGCCAAAGGATATGAAACAGGAGATAGTACTGCAGATGGTACTGGAATTGGATCGGATGATGAAACTGGAGTAGGATCTGGTAAAGGTGTTGAAAATGGAACAGAAGGTGAATCTTCAGATGGAACGGGCGATGTTTCTGGAGATGGCGCAGAAAAAGACGCTGGAGATGGCACGGGAAATACGTCTGGAGATGGATCTGAGGTTGATTCTTGGGCAGTTGGTGTGGTAGTCTCAGTGGAACTCTCAGGAGTTGCTTCGGAGGTTGTATCTGTAGTACTTTCTGGATCAGTTCCTGGAGTTGCCTCAGTAGTAGTTGCAGGAGAAGTTTCTGGATGGGTTTGTGGAGTTGCGGCGGGAGTAGTAGCAGTAGTTTCTGGATCAGTTCCTGGTGTTGTCTCTGGTTGGTGACTAACAGGTGGAGTTGGGGTAATATTAGTAGTAGGGACTTCAGATGCAGTCTCTGATGTGGTTTCTGGTGTAATGTCCGTGGCAGAGTCGGGTTTTGTGTCAACTGTAGACCCAGAAGTTGTCTCCTGAGTTTCAGTGATTGTTTCTAGGGTTGTCTCCGGTTGTAGAGTCACAGGTGGTTCTTGAGTAGGAGTAACATTAGTAGTAGAGACTTCAGATGCAGTCTCGGATGTGGCTTCTGGTGTAGTGTCAGTAGTAGGGTAGGTCGTTGTGTCATCAGTAGACACAACAGTTGTCTCAGGAGTTTCAGTGACTATTTCTGGGTTTGTTACAGGAATGGTACCAATAGATGTTTCTAGAGTCGTTTCAGGAGTAGTTTCCAGAGTTGTTGCAGGGGTTATATCTGGAGTGGTCTCAGTCGAGGCTTCAGTTGTGAGCTCAGTCGTGGTCTCAGAAGAAGTTTCAGTTGTTAGCTCAGTTGTGGTCTCAGAAGGAGTTTCAGTTGTGAGCCCAGTTGTCGTCTCGGGGGCAGTATCTGGAGTAGTTTCAGGTATGATCTCAGTGGTGGCCTCAGCAGGAGTTTCAATTGTGATTTCAGTAGCGGTCTCTTCAGGAGTTTCAGTTGTGATTTCAGTAGCGGTCTCTTCAGGCGTTTCAGTTGTGATTTCAGTAGTGGTCTCTTCAGGAGTTTCAGTCGTGAACTCAGATGTGGTCTCAGGGGTAGTTTCAGTTGCGAACGCAGTAGTAGGCTCAGCGGAAGGTTCAATAGTGAAAGTAATGGTAGTCCACTCTTCGTCAGTGGTTGTAATTGTAAGGATGACGGTCGGACCGTCTTCTATTGTTGAAGTAACAACGACTGGATCTTGATCAAGGATCCGATCAGGAATATTAGGATCACATGATGTAGGACAGGCGGTAGGGTCGCCAGGTTCGTCATAACAAACACGAAGTCTATCACCCATAGACTCTACTTGAAACTTTTCCTTACTGTATCCATCACCAATGTTAAAGCGGTAATAAATATCAGATGCCCGCTTTGCCTTAAGTTTGTTTACAACAATCAGTTTAGGGACTATTCTTAGTTCTGGATTTTTATACTCGATATCCACATTGCTAGGGTCGTCGACGTCGGCTTCGATACAATTTCCTCCCCCAAATTGCATCACATTAATAGGCGAAAGAACTCTTGGGTTGTGAACACGAAGAACCGATTGACTGTTGGTAAAGCAAATAGTGGATTTCCAACTAGACACCTGAAACAAGTCAAGATTTGAATCGGCAAGTAGAACGTAGCCACCAATGGCACCTGTTTCGTCGACACCAATATCAAAATTCACATTGGTGACACATATTACACCAGTATTCTGAAAGGAGTTTGGTACGTAAAGTGTCGCTTTTTGGTTCCCATAGTTTTTTTCAGCAACATAATTTATTTCCTTCTGATTATTTAACTCTGATATAGATACTTCCGTGCCTGGGAAGGAACCTGTCCAGAAGGTAAGAACATTTCTATTGTCTAACAAACGTATCGCAAATAGATTGGTAGTGAGACTATAGCGAGTGTTAATATGGTAATATCCATAATTATGAATTTCTCCAGCTTGGTATCGAACCATTATATTTGGAAAGTTCGTGTGGAAAAATGAGATTCCATTGTTGTCAAACGAGTAAACATTAAAGTCGTAAACATCAATAAGGGCCCAAAGCTCATCCGTTTCAACTAAAACATCTCCTCCATGAAATGGCCCCCCTCTCTGAATAGGTTCATCTATACCCATGAAACCCGAAACGAAGGTTTTCAGAAAAATCAAAAATAAAATTGTTGTCCAATTGTGAAGAATCATTGTAATTGTTTGTATAATTTAATTAAAGAAAAGTCAGGAAAAAACTACCTGATGGAAGATGGACTGCTTTGAGACGCTTTAAATATTTAAGAATTTTCAATCTCATCACCTATCAGCTGCATGATTCACCCCACCTCACCTGATTTCGTAGGTTTATAGAATGACTAGATGACCAAATAGAAGTGAATTCTTTTATTTCTGCAATACTTTGAGAATGCAAAATAGAAAATAATTGCAAAAAATATATTTTACATCCAGTGTATTTCTTAAATATATTTAAGCGCTACAAATAAATCATTCAAAAACAACACTTGCATCCAGCGAGCTTCACCAAGATATAGTTAGGGCACCATGGACTATAATACCAAAGACTCAGGATACCAACGAACTGCGCCTTCGTTACAAGCAAACGAATAAGGTCAGAGTACATTGAGAAATGAAAAAACGGCAATTGTCAAACTGCAAACAGAGTGGTATGGAACATCTAGAGAAAATACGAAAACAAGAATGACAAGAACGTAAGATCTGTATGAATGATTGATGATACCATAAGCCTCAATCATAAGAATAATACATCATTAATAAAACAAGCAAGAAGTAGTATGAGAAAATAAAAGAATAGAAAAATAATTTGCAAGGATATATAGAAGATATTATAATAAAACAGAAGAACCGCCTGATTTGCAACTAATTAGAATTAATCAGGCGCCTCTTATTATTAACTATCTGAAAACAAATGATAATAAAAAAATATGTCAAATAATAACTTAATTAATCACAAATGACCAAATCGTATGAGATTTCAGAAATCACTCGTAAAAGAAAAGTAAATTATAACTCGTATTAATTAAATTGAAAAAATATTTTCTAATAAATTAAATTGTTTTTTCTTCATATGATGGAACATTGAAACTAACATTGGATCCAAAAACTACCAGAGTTTCTTCATGGCAAACTCACGATTATATGTGTGATAGAGTAGGATCTCGTGCAAGCTTGTAGAATATTAAATACAAGAAAAATGCAGTATTTGATGTCTAGAAATGAACCACCACAGGGTACGTAAGAATCAGATGTTGATAGTAAACAGATTGGCGGTTAAAAATATAGATGATGAAATGAAAAACTTATGAGCAGAAAGAATGCTGAAAACTATCGGAAGTGTGACTATGTCGTTTTGCCTTTATGTATTGAAAATAATAATATTTGCGAATGACAACAAATATTAATTTTGTAGAGGAAACAAAAAAATATTAAATATAAAAAATAGTTAGAACCTGTCAAAGAAACAACTTGTCAAAGACTAAAATGAGAGGTTATATTCTTTTGCAGAGAACATGTGAGGACAGGAACCGAAACAGAAATAAATAATATGAAGGTAATGTAGTCGCAAAACTCCTGCCTAGTTAAACAAGGAACAGACCTCTTTCATTTCACCTAAGCTCATCTCGAAGCTGAGAGCCATCATCGGTTATTCTTTCCAAAATTAAGATCAGATGTTCTGGGAAAATAAGACACTGTCATTTTTTTCCAAATTGCGTTATTCAAACCTTTTTGGAAAGCGTTCATTTTCATCTGCTTGCTTCTCAAGTATGACTATCATTGACAGTCAATCCAAAGAGTATCAGTCAAATTAACAGGTTCTCCAAGATCATTCTTATCAGTATCCAAATATGAACATGTACTACTCGGTTGCCAAGAATGCTTGTGATGGAACCATTGAGATGCGCAGCTGGTAGAATATTAAGTTATGTCATTGATCTCTGTTTAACTATACCCTATTTGTGTGCTTACTGCAGGAACCCTTCAGTAGAAAATCATGGTGTCCTGGTCAGCTTCGTTTTCATTGATCTACAGCCACCGTGAATACTGGTAATGTAGTGCTTATAGATATGGGTACGTGCTTGAAGTTTCGACAGGAATTGTTGTCTCGGTTGTAAAGCACACTAACATAAACATCTACACACAAATATTAATTCATTTCTACAAAAGTTATTTGTACAAACATAGATAATATTTTAAAAGATTCCTAAAAATGATGATTTAGATTTTTGATCCGGTTTATAATTCTTAATTTCTGTAAGCTTTTGTTCATAATTCACGATTTTGTTACTACTTGCTTCAATCTTCTTCACTAAATAACCAATCCTTCCATCCAATTTCCCACTCAACTTGTCAATATTAGTTAATTCCTCTTCTAATTTTTGAATTTTGACTTGTTCCAAACTAATCAAGTTTGAAATATAATCTGATTCATAAAGTTTCCAAATATTGTAATCATGAATGATATTCTTAAATGCTGCCTTGAACAATGGTCTACCGGTAGTGATATTATTCAAGACACCTTTATCACGCTTCAACGAAACCAAATCATATTTTTCCAAAGTAGACAACGTACTTATTGTCTCCTTTGAAGATTTAAATAATGGCAGATCGACCAATTCATTATATGATACTGAATCCTTCTTGGACAATAATTTCATAAGATGCCAAACCTGAGCCGCATTCCAATTATTATCATCATCCTCAATCTTATGATTAGTCAAAAAGAATGTGGTTATCAATTCAGCTGACTGGTTAATCATTTCTTGTATCGCACTATTAGGAGTTTCCCCAGATTTAATACGACGAATAAATGATTGAAGATCCAACATACGACCTCCCAATGGCTCAATGCAGGTATCAATCGTTTCACTGCTGATGGATTGTAATTGATCCAAAACATATTGCTTTGCACTCTGACTTGAGGCATCCGAAAGCGAGATATCTTTGAATACTTGGTTAGGTAATGCATCAGTTAAATGCTGCATACAGCCGACATCGGAGGTTAAAAATATAACATGGGCAATATTATTTGATACTAATCCAGCACACCATTCTGCAATGAATGGAAATATGAAATTGTTCAGTTGGTTATCACCTCGTCTTGCAAATTTATTCACCACTATGATTGGTTTACATTCAGGATGATGTTGGAGATATTCATCTTGCTTTAAGACTTCTAATTTTTCACCATCTTTACGACTTTTGTTTTTGTATTCAATTGCTCTGACGTATTTACGATATTCATCATCGCAGATTTTCCTAATTGCCTGTGTAGTCAATGAAAACATATTTTTGATCCTGGTTTCCTTATTTTCGTTTAACCCCGATTTTTGCCCAGTCAAACCTTGAACTCCTAAATCGGCAAATTGTGAAAATGTATTAGTCCAAGTAAAGACCGGGAAATAACCTAGTTGCGAGGCAGCATTGTTCATCAACATACTGTCAGACCTTGCTTTACTTAATTCATCACAATGAATCATTAATATTTTCCCATTTAACTTCGCATCTTGATCTAAAGTATGATCGAATATAAACTCTTCCTTTCCTGAACCTGGTGGGCCTTTGACAATAATAAAACTAGTTATATTTTCCATAATCCATAATTTCAATTGTTTTGATTTTTCGTGCCGCTCATACCAAAATGTGTTTGTTTCCTTTAATTCAGTAAATGTGTCATCCTCAGTTGAATTGTTTCCTCCACTGGTAACTTCCTGAATTTGGACATCGATGTAATTAAAACTATCGGTTATCCACAGTTTTATGGTACGATATGGAATATAAATCAACTTGAACCATTTGTTTTCCAATGATCTATGAGTTATTTTGTATTCAATAAACCATTGCCTAATGGGATCAAAAATAAGCACAGCAAAAGTGGCAAGTAATGCTAAAATAATAGGTAATGCGATCTTAGTATGATCAGCAATAAACTTGGTGATGTAATTGACTCGTTTAACAGGAATGTATTGCAAATGAACAACAGTATCTCCTTGTACTACTATACCAGTTAGACATTGTTTTGCAGCAATAGCAGAACGAGTATGACGAAACAATATTTGGGAAGTAGAAGTAGCTGAATCCTGAACAATATCATTAATGGGTCCATACCTTCTAAATAAAACATAAAGCTCTTCTTCTGTCAAAGGATTCTTACCATCGTATTTGACAGCTAGTTTGGAGCTCGGATACCTTCTCAAATCTTCAATCCAAGGTGTTCCCTTTACAGTAAATACTTTTGGATCATGATTCCAGATTAAATTGAATACTCTAGAAAAGATTCCCTTTGATGCTCTTACTTGTTCCACATTATTTCTTATTTGGTCAATTAATTCAGAAGCTGTTGATTCAGTTGGAATGTTATATTTGACAAACGCACCAAAATCTCGTTTAACAGGTATAAATTCAGTAATTTTAGCTTCTTCATGTAAGGGGGAAGAAAGATTTTTGATCTTTTCTAACAATTGAGTATCTGTTATACTGGTAGGGAAAGTTAACCAAAAGAAATATCGTTTCATAAACCCAGTTGTATGAGGATAAATACTATCATAATAGACTAATACCTCTGATTTCGACTTATCAATTACTCCTGTGTTTAAAACTGAATTATCAGCTTCGTTATAATCTGACTGTCGTTTTAACTTTTCTAGGTCAGTACTGTAAAACCTTGTGAAGGTGGCAAAACTGGTCCTATTTATTGTAGTGTAGACGATAGGAATAGATCGATGACAATTGCGCATTGATATCATGGCTGTAGACAATCAATTGGATCAGGATGTATACTTGTAGGGGCCACAATTGGTAGTAAATACTTTCGTAGATGATAGAACGAATTAGTGGAGGTTTGAAGGGAAATAGCAATCTTACAAGAGAAGAGGTTCTGGGTTGGAGATTCTGGGGTGATTTTTTTTTCTTGGTTCTGACAGTTCCCCCCTTAAGAGGCAAGCTTTTACTTCCACATGGTGAAATACATAACTAGAAACAAAGCTTAGAGGTATTAGCTCTTCTCGGGGATCAAGCTAGACATCGCGAGCATGAAATGCAAGAATACGAATATCAGTTATTCTCGAGTAAACCCTTGGTTAGTTCAAAGAGGCTCCCAATATTAATACTTCAAAAAAGTTAAACAATGTATTCAAACTAATTTATAAATCTAACGAAACCATTAGACCCACTAACTCCCAATATTAATATTTCTTTTTGGAAAGGAGAAAGTTCAAATTAGTTAGAAATTCGTTCTAGGCCTCGCTTTGAATCATTATACCACGGAAGAAAAAGGTATAAGGATCTTCGAAGAGGCCAATTTTTTGTCAGTTTTTTTTTTCTTATCTTACAAGTTATTAAGAGGGGTTTCATTCGTTATGTAATGTTGTATATTGGAATCTATACACTTTCTCTATGTATATTTCAACTGGAGTGTTGGTGGAAAGAGAAAACAAATAAACAAGTGAAATCCGTCATGAAGATTTTTTTTTTCAGCTTACATTCATTTGACTCAGTTCTTCGCACACACAATTCAAATGATGATCCGGGTAACCATTTTCCAAATAATAACCCTAAGCAAAAGATAATATAACTATACAGGACAATGGGAAATACATGAGATCAAGGTGATCAGAACGTGATTATCACAGGGGACTACGATTAAAGAGAAGGAAGTAAAGCACGAGTTAACGGCATAGGACTCAACATTTCTTCAACGCCCATTTTCTACAACGCCCATTATGCCCTTCCCCTCCAGCCTCCCCCACACACACACGCACACATGCTATCCCCTGACAACGCACTATATAAATCTATCTACAAATGGTTGATTTAGAATGAACAGCATGTTTAATCCCACCAGCTGACAAAGTTAGATTAAGTAGAAACTTTCTTCCCTTGAAATCAGATTAAGAAACCCATCACACAAACTAACAATTGACCATGGATATCATTCAGTATGAAACGGTTGCACTGAATCATGAAAATCCTGTGAAACACACTCCAAGTTGTATCATCATCATCTATTCATTTCCATGAATTTTTCATGATTTAACATATGTATGCTTGAAAGACAATTGAAAGATACCTGAAAAATAGTTGACAGGTCGAGAAAAGATTGTTGAAAGGTACTTGAAAGGTGGTTGGAGGTTCAAAGCTAGTTGAAAGGTAGTTGAAGGATTGCTGAAGGATTGTTGAAAGATTGTTGAAAGAAAGGAAGTTGAAAGTTGAAAGGTAGTTGGAAGTTGAAAGGTAGTTGGAGGTTCAAAGGTAGCTGAAAGGTCGCTGAAAGGTAGTTGAGAGTGGTAAAGTAAATTGAACGGTAGTTAGAAGCTGAGAAGTAGTTGAAAGGTGAAAGGTAGTTGAAAGGTAGTCTAAAGTTGAAAGGAAGTTGAAAGGAAGTTGAAAGGTAATTGAATCGTAGTCGGAAGCTGAAAGGTAATTGAAACTTGAAACTTGAAAGTTGAATGGCAGCTGTAAGGTGGTTGAAAGGTGTTTGAAATGTAGTTGAAAGATAGTTGAAAGATAGTTGAAAGATAGTTCAAAGGTAGTTGAAAGTGTAAAGTTAGTTGAAAGGACGTTGAAAAGTAGTTAAAAGTTGAATGGTAGTCGAAAGGAGGTGAGAGGTAATTGAATGGTAGTTGGAAGCTGAAACGTAGTTGAAAAAATGTTGAAACATAGTTGAAAGATAGTTGAAAGGTGGTTGAAAGGTAGTTGAAGGTAGAAAGGTGGTTGAAAGGTAGTTGAAAGGTAGTTGGAGGTTGAAAGGTATTTGAATTTGAATGTTAAAAGCTAGTTGAAAGATTGTTGAAAGATAGTTGAAAGGTAGTTGAAAGTTGAAAGGTAGTTGATATTTCAAAAGTAGTTGAAAATAAGTGGAAAGGAAGGTAAAAAGTAGTTGAAAGATTGGTGAAACGTTGTTGGAAGTTGAAAGGTAACTGAAAGTTGAAAAGTAGTCGAAAGGAAGTGGGAAGGTGTTTGAATGGTAGTTGGAAGTTGAAAGATAGTTGCAAGGTAGTTGAAAGATTGTGGAAAGGTAGTTACAAGTTGAAAGGTAGTTGAAAGTTGAAAGGTGCATGAATGTTGAAAGGTATCTGAATGGTAGTAGAAAAAAGGTGGTTGGTAGGTGTTTTGAAGGTAGTAGAATTCTTGTTGAAAGGTACTTTAAAGTTGAAAGATAGTTGAAAGGTAATTGAAAGGTAGTTGGAAGTTGAAAGTTGAAAGGTGGTTGGAAGTTGAAAGTTAGTTGAAAGTTGAAAAGTAGTTGAAAGGTAATTGAGAGTGGACAGGTAATTGAACGGTAGTTGGAAGTCGCAAGGAAGTTGGAAGCTGAAAGATAATTGAACGGAAGTTGAAAGGTAGTTGATATAGAACGAATGGAATCTTTAACTCCCCCAGATGACCAACCTAGATTAAGTCAAACCTTCATCTCCAGAAATCAGATACAAAATCCCAATACACAAAACTAACCATTGGTCAAGTGCTTAATTAAGTATGAAAGGATTTCGCATCCGATCCCATTGAAGATCCAGTCCAGCCCTCTCCAAATTGCATCATCACTAACAATTCATTTCCATGATTTTTTTTTGGAAAATGTTAAAAGTCAACAACGACTGGAATTGAAAAGGAAGATAGAACAAACTGAATTCAGGAATCCAAACCTCACTTTAATGTGCAGTAGCAACTTGGTAATATTGACAAATGAGTAGCTTTATTGTTGATCGTAGATGGAAGATGTTTCAATTTCGTTTCTGTGGTTGATTTCTGTGGTTTGAATTTCTGTGGTTGGATTTCTTTTGTGTAACTTCTGTGGTTTAATTGCTTTCATCACGTTCTAATACCTTCACACCAAGATTACTTCTTTTGAACATTCAATGAATGGACCACCTTTGCTTGCTTGATGAGATCGGGGAAATTGTTGATTGAATAAATTATTTGGGCGGTAGATTTCTTTGTGAACAAGAAAGAAGAAACAAATGATAAAATGAAGTTTTTCTCATTTTTTTCACAATCTGGTCGTTTAAAGAAGCTGCAAAAAATCCTAGTCATTGTGAAACAAACACAAAGAAAATAACTGAAAAAATCTAGACCAACACAGACCAATTCTTCACATAGTTATAAATAAAGTAGTCAGGGTATAATTTACTCATGTATTTATATATTGAAAATGAGGGAAATAACAGACAGGGTTATCCTATGAAGGCGTTCCTGATTTCATATCTTACAATAATATAAATAATTATACAAGTAGTAATAATTAATACTCCTGTGGAAGTTTGATTTTTGAGGATTACTTTTAAATGACGGACCTCATCTAAAAAGTTATTTGACATTTATAAAATTTTCTTTCAGTTTCATATGTTCTGACGACCACTAATGATAACGTAGGTCATCAAACGTATATCCTTATAACTCTTTTTTGACAAATTTCTGACCTTCAGTAAATATTTTTGCAACTAAATTATCAGAAAATTATTAAAAAACTAGACGTAACTCTGAGAATATAATAATGACAATTGCTGATCTTATTGTTTTTGAAACAGCAAATCCAGGGGCACAACAATAGCAATTGTATTATATCCCCTCAATAGATGATTGTAATGTAACATCTAAACGAATCTAATTTATTTTTTACAAGAAAGAAACCAAAAAACCTTCCTCGGAGGATTGAATAATTTCTATTTCTGGAATATATTGAATTACCTCTTCCCCTTTGTAAACGGAAGGTATTATATCGGTTTGTTCATTTATTTTCATGTTGTACAATTCATAAAATTCAAACAACAACAAGAAGTTCGCTCAGAAATATTCATAGAAGCATAGAAGCCAGAACAACTATAGAGGTTGTCATATGATCTTCAAACGCGCAAGAAAGAGAAGGTAGTGAATATAGGGGGGGGTGGTGGAATTGTATTTCTCTAAATATGAAATAGATCCACTTGTTGATTACTAATAAACCTTCATCAATTGACCTTCCATTGGTTAGTTACAATTATATTACCAATGCCCTGACAAATTCGCAGCCTCAAGTCCGACGATCCATCAAGGCACAAAATTAGGTTTCATGGATCCATCCAATTAGACGACATGCAACTGGAAGGTTAAATCGGCAAAAAATTAAATCCAAACGATAACTAATTACGTGAATTCGATATGTAAGGTAGAATGCCAACAAACTTACTAAAAAGTGGATTCCTATCTATTTATCGAATGTCTCCTTTTCATTAAGTTGAATATAAATTTGTCAAGTTTTTACATTTACGAATATATCAAATGCAGTGTTCCGAGATTCTTATGCTTCCCGAGGATGTTATTAATTTGATTTGTCGTTTTCTCCCCGATAGTCTCTTATTGGAATATTGTCATATTCCAATACTTGGCAGATATGCAATAGGCGTATTAAACACTAAAAATCTTAAGGTGTATATTGGCACCACACTCTTGGTGGGATTTTCATTTGATATTGACGGCATGACTGATCATGAATTGAATCCTTATATCGGTGGCCCTGTCGGGGCCGTCGGAATGTACCAAGCGGCAACCTTACCGTGGGTTGGAACTAACCAGTTTCGGTCTCCTTCAATTGATTCGGTTGATTCATTTATCGAATTTATCAGAAAGCACCCCCATCTCAGAATTAAGAAATTGATTGTAGATGGGCTTGTTATGTTAAAGAGAATACATACCCGAGGTGATTCTTCGTGGCTCCGAAGTGTACAAAAGATAGAACTAGTGGTTATGGCTAAGCTAGATAACCCAAGGGAGTTCATAGAACAAGTTAGAGACTATCATCTATATGGCATTTCTTCAACTGCTAATCTTCATCAATATGACTTACCACACTCAGTTCAACTGTTGTATTTTGGATGGGCTATCGACTTTAACCCTTCCGCATTGGAGAGACACGACTTGACTGAATTATACATACGGCCTCCCATTATCCTTTCTGATCTGAAATACTTGCCACGAGGGTTGAAGGTACTAAACATTTGTTTACAATTGGGTCCCGCTGCGGATAGTACATACAGGCCCAACTTTCCTCCAGGATTGGAACTCCTTGAAATTGGAATACAGAGAGATAACACCAGCGCAAGCGAATCCAATTTCGACCTTAGAGGTTTGGAAAGTTTAAACTGCTTGAACATTAAATCATTTCCCTTCGAGTCCTTGTACATTTTGAAGGCACCGAAACAAATAAGCGCCTTGTCCATTGAATCTTCACATTTGGCTTCATTAAGATCTATCGCGCAGTATCATCAGCTTAAACGCCTATCTCTAAAAATTGAAAACGAGGAAGCTCGGTCCATATTAGAGGATTGTAAGTTCCCAAATTCGTTGGAAAGTTTACAGTGTGAATGGGATCATTCTCAAAATATGCTCTTTCCAAGACTTGAAGGAGGACCTCGAGATATGGGAATGATTGCCGACTTGATACCACTTGAAAGAGAACCGATTTTTTCACCTAGAGTGCAGTTCCGTATTGGTCGACTTCCTCCAAATCTCAAAATGTTGAACATTAGGTCTAACTGGGCGTCCTGTAATCCAACCGAATGGGATTTGCCTGAATCTTTGAGAGTCTTGATACTTAATGTCCGCACACTTCTTGCGCCTGTTACAATTCCATCTAGATTGGTTTTTTTTTCCCTATTTGCAAAGTCGAAAGATAAGATCCTACCTCGTTCGTTACCTAAATCGTTGATCTATTTAAATACGTCACTACTACCTTCAGAAGCAACAACAAACGATTTGACAGATTTATCCAACTTGTCACTGTTAGAGTTTTCAGAATATAGCCAAACTTGTTTTGAATGGAAATTACCAATTACGCTTGAAAGGTTGGTCTTAAAATATAACAAATTGTGCTCTATAAACATCAAAGAATCGAATCTAAAAGAGCTAAATTTGTCCTACAACTGCTTTAGATCGTTTGACAACCTTAAACTACCCGAGACTCTTGAGGAATTGCAATTAAATAACCAGAGACTGCCCGAAAATGGACTTATGAAACTTTCTCTTGAGAAATTGACCAAAAACTTGAAGCTGCTTGATCTTTCAAGAAATAATTTCGAGATACGCTCGTTGAGCAATTTAAGCTTTGAAAGGTTTCACCAATTGCTGTGTCTTAATTTAAGTAGTTGCAATGTTAACAATTTGAAAGAAGGCATGTTCCCGGAATCAGTTAAATTCCTCCACCTTGACGGCAACAGATTCGAAAAGATTGACAGGCGTGTATTTCAACGCTTACCAAATTTGATGTTTCTCAATTTGTGGGGCTGCAATATTGGCGACTTAATGCGATTTGGACATAGTTTGGAATTTCCTGAATCTTTGCAATTTCTAAGTCTTTCAAAGAATAGGCTTGACACGACGAAAGGGTTGATATTTCCTTTGAATTCCCACTTGAAATCGTTAACTCTCCAATTTAACGAGTTTCGGTATGTGAATGCTGTTTCTGAATCTTTAAGGGGAATATTGGGCCAAGATGTGCTGATCTCTATTCTGACATACTAGTGTCCATACGGAATATGTTTGTACTAGTTCATCAAATTCAAAGCTTAGATTTACAATGAAAATTATATTCAGTGAATTTGGGTATATATACATCTATTTAAAATCTGTAGAGAATAACTTTGTGTTTGACTTAATCCATATCTGTTACCGGGATACCATTACTTGGTACAATTTTTATAAAGTCAGAAGTTTTCAAAGGTCTTACTGGAAGGTTGTCATTTTCATCACGATCTAATTTTCCACTTTTATAATCATAATTTTCTTTAATATATTCTCTGACTGGTAAAATTGCTGCTTCTCGACACATTTCTCTTAAATCAGACCCACTATAACCTCTAGTATATTCGACGATTTGATCCAAATTAAAATCCTTTTCATCCAAATCAGCGCCTTTCAATATTTTTGATAAGATTGCTTTTCTTTGCTCTGCCTTTGGTTTATCAATTGAAAACGTTTTTGGCATTCTTCTTATAAATGCTTCATCAATATCCATTTTTCTATTAGTAGCACCTAATATCATAATTTGACCATTTGATTTTAAACCATCCCATAACGTCATAAATTCAGCTTTTAATAAAGCACTTACTTCATGATCACTAGAAGATCTATCTCTTAAAAATGAATCTATTTCATCAATAAATATAATACACGGCTGTAATTTATTAGCCAAAGAAAAGATTGCATCAACTATTTTATTTGATTCTCCATACCATTTATCCATAATGGTTGACATTCTAATCAGTAAAAAGAATGCCCCACTTTCCTTTGCAATTGCTTTTGCCAACATGGTTTTCCCACACCCTGGTGGTCCATAAAATAACACACCTTTAGGAGATTGAATTAAACTCAGATGAGCAGAAAATAAACCTGGTTCTGTTAAAGGTAATATAACAGCCTCTCTTAATTCATCAATTATATTACCTAATCCACCAATATCTTCAAATTTTATTGATATCTCTTCAGGTGTAACTAACGAATTTAATAATGCCTTTTCATATTGGGTAAATGTTATATTTTTCAAATGAGGATTACTAACTGTCAATTTCTTAAGTACTGAAGCTCCTTGTTTCTCATTTTGTTTCGATTTAGAAGAATCTAAATAGTCATTTATTATGGTATTTAAAATGTAATAAACTGATAATCCAGCCCCGGCCAATACAAATAAATCTCCTAATAATCTCAAATCTATCTTGAATTTGCCAATGCTAAAGTTGTTTAATCTGTTCATACTTTTTCTGTACTGTTTCTATCTTGTTATTTGTCTATAAAACGTTAAGAAACTGTGTACAACAACCGTCATCTAAAAAAGATCGTTGCTTTTTTGGTTTTCTGATTTTCGCGACGGTCAAAATTAGACCGAGGAGCAAATGGGTAACTGAGAAAACAAAGGAGATTGATTTCTTAATTATCAATCGCAATAAATGACACGTGCAAGTAATCGTCTAGGTGTAGGTTGTAAACTCACGTACTCTGTAGTATTGCTAATAATTCAGCAGTTTAAATCGTATCCCATGTTAAATTTCAAATTCCCTTGATTTGGTGTAACTACCTGTTAGAGTTTAAAAGTTACATTGTACTGTATATAAGGAATAACACACTATGCAGTTCCTATCAATGAGAAGATGAGATGAGTTGAGAGACCAGACAAATAGACAAAAGTGTTGCCAAAAAAAAATTATACACTTGTCAGAGAGGAACAGAGATAATAGAAGCAGTAAGAGAGTACTTGGAAGATGGCCAGAAGGAATTACGAAGACGATAATGATGGAGAACCTCATTCTATTAGATTGCCTGGTTCTTTATTAGATCAAATCAGACAGAAGGAAACCAAAGGGGATTATAATAACGCAGATGACGATGATCGGTTTTCAAAATTTCAATCAAACAAATCCTCCTCTAAGAAACGAAAAGGTGATGCATTTGTAACTAGAAAGGATAAAAGAAAGCAAGAAAGAGAATTAAAGAAACAAAAGAGAATAAAAAAGGATGTATCTAGCAACTCCACTAAACCCCCAAACAATAAACAACAAGTCAAGAGCAAACACAAATCAAGCAAGGAAGATCCAATGGAAGCATTAAGAAAACTAAAAGAGAAGAAGTCAAACGCCACTGCAAAAGATGAAGACCCCATGGAAGCATTAAGAAGGCTTAAAGAAAAGAAATCCAAAAAGAATGTATCACAAGAAGAAGATCCGTTGGAAGCTTTAAGAAAACTAAAAGAAAGTAAGAATAAAATTAAGTCAGCTTCTAAGACAGATGATGGATTCAAGATTATCTGTGAAGATGATATTGAGGACGACGAAATATCTGATTTCGAGGACGATTTTGAAGATTTGGAAGAAGGCAATGACTTCGACGAAGAGTTTGATGAAGAGGATATCGCTGAGGAGGACCCAATGGAAGCATTACGAAAGTTAAAAGAAAAGAAAAGTAATTCCAATAATCTGTCCGGTATTAGAATAGTAAGAGAAGATGATTTACAAGACGATGATATATCAGACTTAAGCGAAGGCCAACACGAGAATGACTCCAATGACGAAGAAGAGGAGGATGATTTCGAAGGATTTGAAGATGACGACGATGAAGTAGGGATGGAAGACTTTGATGATTCTGAAGAAGAACTCGAAGAAGAGGAAGACCCATTAGCTAAGTTGAAGGCATTAAAAGAAGCCAAGAAGAGCAAGAAAGAAAAGACCGAGGAGAAGTCCACCAGACCGTTGAGCTTACGTGAACAAGAGCTATTCAAACGAGATGAAGATGACATAGATTACTATGCCAAAAAATTGGGTCTCAAGCATGGTAAGAAATCAAAACTCAACAAAGCTGACGATGACGACATTATTGGTGGTTTATTGGATGGGTTAGATCTTGATTTTGGATCGGATGCAGAAGTAGAAGTTGAAGAGGAAGAACAAGGCAATTTTTCAGATTTCAACGATCACGACGATGAATCTGATTTCGAAGAATCCGGCAGTGAAGACGAACCTAAACAGAAGGAAAACCCCTATGTTGCTCCAGGAACTTCTCAAGAAAATGAGTCTGAAGATGGCGCTGCTCCACAAAGATATATCCCACCTGCATTACGTCGTAAGATGGCAATGGAATCAAATGCTGTGTCAGAAGAAGTTATTGCTCTTAGAAAATCAATTAAAGGTCCTCTCAATAAATTGTCCGAAGCAAATATCAACACCATTGTCAATGATTTAAATTCTTTGTTCTTATCACATCCTAGACATACTTTGAATGAAGAGATTACGTCTATTATTTTGGACAGCATTATCCAACAAGGAAGATTATTAGACACATTTGTTTATTTGCATGCATGCGTGGTGGTTGCACTTTATCGTTTGGAAGGAGTTGAATTTGGAGCACATTTTATTCAAACTATTGTTGAAAAATTTGAAGATTACAATAAGCAAGAATCAAAGACTAAAGAATGTTCAAATATCGTATCGTTATTATCATCAATTTATTTATTCCAATTAGTTTCGTCAAAATTGTTATATGATTTGATTAAAGTCTTGATTAATAACTTGAATGAAAATAATGCTGATTTATTGTTAAGATTGATTAGAAATTCCGGAAATCAGATGAGATCAGATGATCCATCAGCATTGAAAGAAATCGTTCTTTTGATTAATGAAAAGTATTCCAACTTACCAAAAGATCAAATGACAACCAGAACACAATTCTTGATTGAAACAATATCAACCTTAAAAAACAACAAAATGAAAGTGGTAAACGAAGCAAATCATCAACTTTCAATCAGATTAAAGAAATTCCTGGCTACTATAAACAACAATAAATTCAATGACCCCATCCAAGTCTCGCTTGAAGATATTCACAACATCGAAACTCGTGGGAAATGGTGGCTCATTGGTTCTGCTTGGAAGGGACATTCTACCGACGCTTCTTCAACTACCACCGGCCAAGAAGATGTCAACAAAGCGGCAATGGATGATATCTTGGACGCAGCAGAACCTAATTGGATGGAACTCGCAAGAGCCCAAAGAATGAACACCGATATAAGAAGAGCCATTTTCATATCCATAATGTCAGCAAACGATTATATTGACGCCGTAACAAAATTGGATAAACTTGCACTTAAACGTTCTCAGGAAAGAGAAATCCCGAGAGTACTCATGCATTGTACTGTAATTGAACCCACTTGGAATCCGTATTATGGTATTCTTGCTAATAAATTGTGTGACTCACATTCATATAGAAAGACGTTCCAATTCATGTTATGGGATCTTGTGAAGGAACTAGATGGTGGATCAAATGATGATGATGAGGATGATAATGAAGGATTTGGATTTGATAATGAAGATGAAGAAACAAAACTAAAGAGAATTCTTAATTTGGGTAGATTCTATGGATATTTATTAGCGGAGGGAACTATGCCACTTCATAATTTACGTACTGTCAATTTTTTGACTGCATCTACTGATACTACTTTATTTATGGAGGTACTTTTGGTATCATTCTTGGATCAAATTGGTAAAAAATCACAAAAGAATGCTATTGGTGGTGGTGGTGTCTCCAAGAAATCGAAAATGTATGAACAAAAATATGATGATAGAATTTTGGTTGAGAGGTTACTTAAAGCTAAAGATCAAACTACTTTATTACGAGGATTGCAATATTTCCTACAAGAAAAAGTCAAGTCAAGTGATATAATAAACGGCAAGAAACAAACTGCAAGAGTCGCGTGGGGTGTAGATGCCATGTTTGATATCATTGATGAAATCTTAAAGGATTCTGAATGAACAAATTAGTTATACAATTAGACATTTACATAGAAACATAATCTAATAAAAAGCACTAAAATAAAAGCATAAAATTTATAACACAAGATATAATTATACAAAAAATAGCATTCTTCACGAAGCACCAGCAGCAATTGGAGCTTCGTCTTCGGGATAATCTCTCAAATCCAAAGTAACAGTCTTTGAACTATTTTCTCTTTGTTCCCTATATATACCTACCAAAGCATCGGATTTTTCAAAAAGCGAAGTCTTTAATGAAATAACAATAAATTGGAAACTTGGTCCGGCATACTTTCGAATATAATTAGCAATCTTGGTGACATTTGCATTATCCAAAGCAGCATCAACTTCGTCAAGAACAAAGAATGGTGAAGGTTGATAAGAATGAATAGCGAATAATAACGCCAAGGCAGCCATTGTCTTTTCACCCCCCGATAAAAGATCCATATCTTGGAAACGTTTCATTGGTGGCATGGCATGATACTTTATACCGGAAGTATATGGCATTTCTTCATCTTCTAAAGTCAAGTATGCGGAACCACCTAAGGGAGAAGCGGAAGATTTGGTAAGTTCTTTGTAAATTTCGTCAATACGGGAAGAAACATGTGTGAAGGCATCCATGAACGTTTTATATCTTTGCTCTTTGACTTCTTTGAACTTTTCAGATATTTGACGTTCCTGCTGTCTTGCCAAAGTATATTCTTTATCATGTTCTTTAAGCCTGGCTTCAACCTGCTGCAATCTTTCGTCAGCTCTACCGTTTGGATTCAATTGTTCGAGTTGTTCAATGGTGCTTTGCAACGATACCTCAAGTTCACCTTGGATTTGAATAGTAAAGTTTTCTCTTAATCTTTCATCAAGTAGAGAATAATCAATCTCAATTTTATAGATTTCTTGAAGAATATCTTCAGAAGTTTCACCAACAGAAATCGATTCCAAAATACCATCTTGTAAAGGTAAATTAATATTTTGAATCTTACAATTTCTCAATACATCAGCTCTTTCAGAATCAGCTTTTAATAACATTTCTTCAATTTGAATGATTTCCTTACTCACAATGGAAACTTCCGATTGGGCTTCACGAACATCTGACTCGACAGATTTGGCCGTTTTCAATTTTGATTGAGATGATTTATCTTTTTGGTTCAATTCAGATTTCAATACTTCATGTTCGGCTTCAGCTGTATCCAATATTTCTTCCAATTTCCTCTTTTCAGCAAGTACTACTTCCAATTCATTTTCTAAATCAACTATTTGGTTCTCGAGAGATCTTTTCCTTTCTTTAGTTTCCTTGCATCTTTCTTGTTCAAATTCAAGTTTGTTTTGTAAAGCGGATATGGCTTTAGTATACTGTACTCTTTCCTTAGCTCTTATTCTCAATGTGCTACCATGAGTATTCTCATAATCTTCAATACCATTAGTAAAACCATACTTATCGCAAAATGCGCCATAAATTTTGTCTTGTAAAATCTTCATTTGGTCGGCAATTTTGGATATTTTAGATTCTACGAGCAGGATACTGTTTGATTTATCATTGATAGTAGAGTCAAGCCCTTTAATTAATTCTTCTTGATAAGCAATTTCTGATTTTCTGTCTTCATTAACCCTTTCAACGCTTGATTTTTGATTTCTCAATACTGGCAATCTATCCTCCAACGAATGTATTTCTTCTGCTAATAAATTAATCTCCAATTCTTTTGGTTTATCCTCTTGTAATTTCGAAACTCTATTCACAAGATCTTCTTTCAATTCATTCAATCTATTCCATTCTTGTTTATCCCATGTCAATACAGCAGCAGTTCTTTGAGCTTGTTGACCACCAGTCATTAACCCGGAAGTATGAATTACCGATCCATCCAAAGTAACAATCTTATTGCCAAATGAGGTTCCAGAATTGTTCGACCATTTAATACGTCTTGCAGTATCTATATTATCAACAACCAAAGCGTTTCCGATGATATAATTAATGGCTTGTTCCAAAGACTTATCTGAATATTCAACAACATCTACCCCTGGTGATGCATTTGAATCTATGGATCTAAGGTGATTGGTATTAATTGGGTCAGATTGGACCGTATCCAATGGAATAAAAGTAGCAACACCCGCACGTCTATCCTTTAAAATTTCAATACATTTATAAGCCACAGCAGAGGTGGAAACAATAATACTATCAAAATTTCTACCAAGTAATGTCAGTAAGGCTGATTCATATTTCTGTTGGGATGGACGAACTAATTCACAAACTAAACCTTTGATAGCTCCTTGAGGTAATAATCGTTTAAGAGTAGATACATTTTCTCTCAACTTTTTCTGTTTGTTAGATTCTCTTTGTTGTGACGATAAGTCTTCCAATTTTAATAATACTTCTCTTAATTGAGTATTCAATTGTAATTCTTGGAAGTTGAATTCTTCTTTCTTACGAATCAATGAATTCCTAGATTTTTCCTTGGAATTCTTTTTGTCAAGAATTTCACTAATCTCATTTGCAATGTCAGAAAGCTTGGATTTCAATTCAGTATTAATAATTGATTCTAGTTCATTCCTTCTATTATCAGCATTGGATTTCTGATTCTTGATATTGGCTATTATAGTATTAATATTTTCTTTGTCACTAAGTAATAAGGACAATTCTTCTTCTAACTTAGATCCATTATCAGCAAGGAACTGGGCTCTCAAGGCTTCATATTCTTTTTGACCTTGGACTGAAACATGAGATGAACCATAAGAAGTAGTTTTCTCTTGAAATTCTTTAAAGAGTTTTTGAGCATCACGTAATTGCTTTTCAACGGATTGCAATTGAATCTTTTGTCTTTTTAAATCATTTTCTAAATCTTGAATCTTATTCTTTTGAGAGTTTATTTTTGTAGATAATGACTGTTTATTTGCTCCGATTGGAATCAATTCACGTTTAGTGGATTCTATCTTTACTGCATTGGTCTCAATTGCTTGCTTGTGTTGCTTGGTATCAATGATAGATTTTGAATATTCTGACATGAGAGTTGAGTAAGTCTTTTCTTTGGTTGCTAAATCTTTCTTTAATTCCTTCAAGTCGGTATTCTTAGCTCTAATATCTTCCTTTAATTGGTAATGTTTCTTCTCATTATGGAATAACTTGTATAAATGAATCTTCTTAATAACTTCATTTTTCAAAACAATCTTTTCTTCAAATTCTCTTTGTTCGGCAACTTGTTCTTTATATTGTTTAGATTCAGAATTAAGAGTTCTTTTTCTTGAAAACACCGAATTAGAAACTTCACGGGCTTTTTCTGATTGTTCTTTTAATTGTTCGAATTCTTTAACATATTCATTAGATCCACTAACATGTTCGATTAATTTCGTTAACTCTTTGGGAGATTGAGAAGCAATTTGTTCAACGTCTCCTTGGAAAACCAAAAAGTTTCTTGCTTTAATCAAAATATTTTCTTGTTTTAATACCATTGTATAATTCAATACAGTTACAGATCTTCCATTAATTTGATAATCACTATGTCCACTAGCAGTGATACTTCTTTTAAGTTTTAATATCTCTCCATTTGATTTTGCATATGTGGCCATGACATAAGCATTAGTAGGGTCTTGATCAATGCTATCAACAGTATTATCAGGCATATTTTCTCTTCTACCACGATATATTAAATCTCTCAAGTTCTGAGATCGTAAATGGGATGATTGGACACCAAGAACGAAAGAAATCGCGTCCATCATATTTGATTTACCAGCACCATTAGGACCAATGATTGATGTAAAGAATGAATCACCAAATCCAATAACAGCTTTACCTCTGTATGATTTGAAATTATATAACTCCAATCCTATTAGTCTTCCCATATTTGAATTTGTCTTCTGTAGTGTAGCTTTGTATTTGGAGTTGGTTGTAAAAACTTATTATTGAAAAATTGGTTGTCAGTTTTTTTTGTTTTTATTTCTAATTTGGTTTGGTTTAGAATTCAGATTTTACACGTAAAAATTTGAAAATCAAGACGCGTTGTGCGGCTCGATGGGAAATTTCCAAAATGGGACACGGAAACAAATTTCTGTTTATTTATTCCTCGACGTAGTAACTAAACTAACCTAGCAGGCAGATAATGGGTTTGTCCAGAAAAGAAACACGTTTTAGCTTCGAAAAAGCTGAGCTAGAAGCATTATTAAAGATGGTTGTCCCTAGTTGAGAAATTCGCAAAGCTAATGCGACGCTGTTCACAATTCAAATCTGCCAAATGCAAGAAACGTGGCAACGATTTGTTTACTGCTGTAAAGCAATTCAGGAATCTACAACTAATGCAGAGTATTCCCAAAGTTAGGTAAGTGAGACGCTTACGATTTGGTAAAAAAAATTGGAAAGAATATCTCACACAGTTAGTTATGAAGTGTTACGTGTTGTTTTCTAATGTTAAAATTGATGATAATCCAGCGCTACCAAGATTCTAATTTATCGGACTTCCATAACCGAGAACTGTCTAAGCGCATAATAAAAAAAAAATCACAAAAATAGAAAGGAGGGGCGATAAGAATGGTGGCACATAATGCACTAACAAAAAAAAAAAATGTAGCTCGGTGTCGCCCCCCACCCACTTTCGGGGATTGAGTCACTTGCAAAAAAATAGAAAAAAAAAAATAGGATTTGGGGGCAACAAAACCCTTTTTAAACTTTTTCGGGATTCATTTATAAATTATAAGATCTGGGAGAGATCTCAATTACCACTTAAGAACTCCCAATTACATATTCATACATTAGACAACAGTAAATTATGTGTTCTTCATATTCCGAGAAACAACCATTATTAAAACATAAATCAAAGCATAAGAGATACAATGACAGCGATGAGGAAAATGATAGCGAAATCTCGACAAACACAATATGCCCCACATTCAGTTCCCTTATTTCATCAACCTTTCAATGCTTTCCAAAATTAACAAAACATTTATCTAACGAATCTGGAGAAGAAATCATTGACTATTCAGATGATGAAGCGTCTTTACCAGATTTACCCTATACGGTTGGTCCTACTGCAATTGTCTTACCCCAATATACACTTTCGCAACATCAAAGGTTAATTGAATTAAGAAAGTTAATGAAAAGGCATAATATTGGAGTCTATATCATTCCTTCAGAAGATGAACATCATTCCGAATATACAGCATTGGCCGATAAGAGAAGAGAATATATTTCTGGTTTCACAGGAAGTGCAGGTATCGCAGTTGTTACTTTGACTAATGGTGATACTTTAGATGGTGAAGCCGCATTGTCAACAGATGGAAGATACTTCTTACAAGCAGAAAAGCAATTAGATCTCAGGTATTGGAAGTTATTAAAACAGGGGTTGCCCGAGTATCCTACTTGGACCAAATATGCAATAGATAGTGCTATTCATAATCCATTCAGCAAAGTAATTTCTTGCGATCCAAGAGTGTTAAGTTTACCAATTGGTGAATATTTCAAACAATCCCGAGTATTACATTATTTGAACAAATTTGACTTCAAGCCCTTGATCTCGGTTAATTTAGTAGACGAAGTGTGGGGAGATGAAAAACCAAGTAGATCTTTAGATCCCGTGTATCATTTACCACTTAAATATAGTGGAGAACATACAAATGAGAAAGTGCAAAGGGTAAGGGCAATAATGAAGAAGCGTGCAGGTACCCACTACTTGGTGACTGATTTGGATAGCGTCGCCTGGCTATTCAATTTGAGAGCAGATACAGATATCCCATTCAATCCAGCATTCTTTTCATACGCTATGATTACCTTTAATGCTGTAATCCTCTATATCAACCAAAACAAGATTGATAAGGGGAACCAAGACATTCATGATTACTTAGCTAGCATTGAAGGATTGCGGATCAAAGACTATGAAGATTTCTACCACGATGCATCTCAATTGAAGTCAACCATCCACGACCAGAACCTTACAATCATCTTACCTACTAAAGCATCAACAACGTACGCCTTATACGATTCTATCCCAGAATCATACAGCAAGCGGAAAATCATCTACGAATCAATCATCTCCAACTTAAAGATCTTCAAAAACAAGACCGAATCATTCAACGCCAAGATCGCCCAATATAAAGATTCATTAGCATTCATTGTCTTTTCATCCTGGTTAGAGCATGAATTAATCCACAAACAGGCCGAAATATCTGAATATGATGCTGCTTGCAAGATCTTCTCAATTAGGGAAACCTTACCCAATTTCAAAGGTCTCTCTTATGAAACCATATCTTCGACCGGCCCAAACGCCGCCATAATTCATTATGCCCCTACCAAAGAGGAAAATTCAATCATCGACCCCCAGAAAATCTATTTAATCGACTCAGGTTCCCAATTCTTAGAGGGAACAACCGATATCACCAGGTCTTACATGTTTGATCCCAAGAGTGTTACTCAGAGATATAAAAAATTCTACACTCTTGTACTTAAGGGCCATCTCGGAGTCGCAATGGCAAAATTCCCACCAAATCTGAATAAGACCGGTACAGTATTGGACTCATATTCTCGACAACCACTTTGGAACGAAGGTCTTGATTTCAACCATGGGACAGGACATGGTGTTGGTGCGTTTGGAAATGTTCATGAAGGGCCATTATATATCCTGACTACCGCGGGAGGACCCAATCTGTTGGATTTATATCGTCCGGGGGCGATCTTGTCGGATGAGCCGGGGTTTTATGTGGATGGTGAGTTGGGTATTAGGATTGAGAGTGAGCTTATGGTGATTGAATGTGATGATAGTGTGGGAAAGACCAGGAATGGAGATAATTTCTTGGGATTTGAATATTTGACAAAAGTTCCTTTTTGTAGAAAACTTATTGATACTGAGCTTTTATCCACTGTTGAAATTAATTGGATAAATGAGTATCATAAGAGTATTAGAGTTGATTTTGGTGATAAATTGTTAGAAATTGGCGATAGGAGAGCTTACAATTGGTTATTCAAAGAAACTGAACCAATTTAACATCTTTCGTAAAAGTTCGTGTTTTATAATATTATATAAATAGAAGAAATAAAAGTTTACATAATTGCATTAATTTGTAAATGAAGCTGAATATAATCTCGGGAATCCTAAACTAGTACCTCTAGGTTTCTCATTCTTAGCATCTGGTTTCTGAAAACTTCCAGGCTTTCTCAAACCAGAACCACTAGTTTGTTGCTGATTCACAGTATTGGTACTAAGTGGTACTTTATTCGATATAAATGGAGATTCTTTAGGCACTTTCATAGGAGATTTCTCCTCGGGTTCAGCGAACTTTTCAGTTGTTGCCTTTTTGTATTGTGGCATCTTTAATGAATTCAAAGATCCCCAACTTGTTCTTGGACCAACCATAGAATTTCTAATTTGATCATAACTTGCAGCAATTCTCGCCCTGGATTCACGCTCCATTTCTTCAGTAGTTTTATATCTCTTATAATCACCACCTAAAACATTATCAGCAGCACGTTTATCTTTAATATCTAGGTCATAAAATGAACTCAGCAATGAATATCTCTTCATAATATCCTCAGCAGGTGACGAAGGTGGAGTAGCTTTCTTGAGAGGAATCCTAGTTTTGGTATATTTGAAGCTACCCTTCTTGTTCAAATCATCCATCAATCGTCTTAATACGGTAGTAATAGCTGAATCCACCAGCCTGAAACCAGCCTCACGGTGATTTTGCCAATATAATGAAGCAGCAGTAGAAGTAGCAGCAGCTGTGGCTACAAGCATAGCTTGCGAATCATCGGCTATTCTAGAACCCGAGAAAATATGGAAAAGATCATTTATGGGTTTAAAAAATGCCGGATCTTGAGCTATCGTATCTGTATCCTTTATCCTATTTTTCTCTTCTTCATCTTCACTGATTGTTTTTGTTTCTGGTTCGTCTTCAATTGGAGTTGATTTTGTTGGCTTTGCATCTTGTTCATGTTTCTCTTTCTCTTCCTTCTTTTGACGATCAATACGTTTCTGCTTCCTCATTTCAAATTCCCGCTCCGCCCAGGCTGCCTTTTCAGGAGAATCTATCTCTCCAAATATAGCTGTTGCTTTTTTCAATACACGCTGTCTCAAGTCATTATCTTTATTTCTTTCTTGATTTTCTTCTCTCCATTTCTGTTTACGTTCACGATTTTCAAATCTAAGCTTCTTCATATGTTCGGGAGTCTGAGCTTGAGCTTTAAGTCTTGCTACTGCTGCCAAAGTTTCAGAACTAAATCTTGACTCTGGAGAATACTTCACAATTGTTTCAATAACAGAATTGGTAATGGATGATATAAAATCTGATTGTGTTGCTGATAATGTGACTTTCTGTTTCTCAATGAATGTCTTGTTTGTATTTACCTGTGACTGTTCACCCGGTTGAGATGTTGACAGCGAGCTTGATTCTTTGGGAGCCTCGGACTGTATTTGATCTACCGTGGTATATCTCTTGAATTGCTCTAATGCATCTTCGATCATAGTTGATGCTTTCACATTCTCCAAATTATTCTTTGGTTGAGAATCAACAAACTTCTTCGCCAAACTCAAAGTATGAACCATTGAATTTCTATCCTTTTCAGCTTTATAACCACTTATAATTTCTTCCGCGACCATAGGTTTATGTAAAAATGAAGATAAATTCCCACCAGATGATAAAGCATCAGTCATCTCTCTGATTGCAGTAAGAATACTAGTATCTGAAATTTCCCCACTACTGATTCTTGAAGTCAATGATTGAATAACGCTAGAAATTTGTGAACTTAATGGCTTGGAAAATCTTGATGTTCTATCTGATTTCACTGCATCCTCCATCGATTCAATAGCTGAATAATCCTTCCTCGGTCCTGATATAAGAGATCGTTGGATTGCCAACGAGCTTGCTATTGAAAGATCTTTCTTTTTCTGTGGTTTTGGTCTCTCGGCAGCTGGTAACCTTCCTATCTTCGATGGCCTGATGGACGCAGTTGGACGCTTCAATGATTGTTGCAAATTGGATATCGTGCTTGAAACTTGACTGCCCAATGTAGACACTGGTTCTGGAGTAGTAGCTTTCTTAGTCGACATAGATTCAACGGGCTTTTGAAATCTAATCGGTGGCTTGATTCCTGCTTTTGCTTTTGAAACTTTCAGCTTTGGTAAACTAGGCTTGGAAACTGCAGGAGGAAGTTGCGGTGGTTGAACTGGCGGGAGCACGGTTTTGATTGAACTATCTATTTCTAAATCAGAAATCAATTCTTGTGGATTTTCCAAAGCCATTTTAAATGCATTTTGAAGAATATCATTCATTTGCAATTGTTCCACATCAGCAACTGTATTATCTTGCGTACTTGGTCTTCTTCCTTGTGGTGCAGATACAGCATCTATAGCAGTTTTCACAGCACTTGTAATAGCCGCCTGAAGTTGAGAATTACTTGGCACATTGGCATTGGCAGAACTGGATGGTTTATCATTCTCTTTGTTTGCTTCATTCTGAAAATAATCCAAGACACCTTCATCTATTTGTGGCAAACCAGAAACAAAAGGCAATGGAGCAAATGCTTTATCGTCATTCAAATGATCCTGCACTTGATGAGATATTTTAACAGCCAAATTATGAATCGCATTATCTCTTATTGCTTTCGCAGCAGCAGCCTGTGCTGCTAACGTCTTAGCAGAAACCTTAGGTCGTTGCGGTTGTGGTCTAGATTTTTCATGAGCTTTCGTTGATGTTTGCATGGCAGACATGAATGCTTCAGCAATTGCACCTTCCATTTGTATATCTTCCTGATCTTTGTTGATCGAACCTGAGACTGGTCCCTGATTTGATGAGCCCCCAAATACTTGTTGAAATGATGCCGATATCATCTGGTCCAATTCTTCGTCATCCACTCCTTGTGATTTCTTTTCTTGTACTAATCCAGATATAGACTTAAATGCATCTCCAATCGCATTCTCTAATTCGTTATCAACTTCTTCTGCTGGGAGTGGTAAGGACTTCTCTCTTTCAATAACTTGTGTTTTCTCTGGTTCAGGTGGCAAAATACTCTTGAATGCATCTCCGATTGCATCTTCTAAATCCATATCATCATCATGCTGAGTTGGTTCGAGTTTTTTGTCGGTCTGTGTTGTTTTGGTTCTTTCACTTGCCAATAAGTTTTCAAAAGCATTGCCGATAGCTTCATCTAGATCCTCTTCTGTGGCATCCTTTTGAGTTGTTTGGGTTTCTACTTCCATTCCTTTTGTAGGTTCCATATCTCCTTTTTGAATTAAATCCGACAACGCACTTCCAATTGCTTCAGATAACTCATCCTCTGGTTCTTTGATCTCTTCTTTCTCTGGAACTTCGGTGGCAGGTACTTCTTTTGCAAAAGCATTCTTGAAGGCATCGTCAATAGCACCTTCTAGACTGGCTTCAGTTTCGAGTTGAGAATTATCACTAGCTGTCACGTCTTTATTTGCAGCCGATACAGCTTCAACCACTTTTTGTTCAAATGAAGACTTGAGAGCGTCGCCAATAGACGATTCTAAAATATCTTGTTCCTCTTCATGACTGGCGGTCGGTTCTTCAGTTTCCTTCTCTATAATTGTGGTTTCTTGAACTACTTCTCTTGCCACATCTTCTTTACTTTCAGTTAGATTCTCTGTCAGTTTCCCAAAAATATTCTTAAATGCATCACCAATTGCATCTTCTAAATTATCTTCATCTTCTTCTTCCGGTTTTGCTAGTAGATCCTCGCGATTCTCGACAACTTTGTCGTTCTCCTTAACTGTATCTGATTGTTGTTTTTGCAAAACTTCTGTAAACGCATCCCCAATTGCATCATTCAAGCTCTCTTCTTTTTCTGCTTCGGAGACAGGCTCATTATGTGACTGGTTACTTTCAATTGATTCCTTATTAAAAACATTATTGAAAGCTTCGCCGATTGCATCTTCTAGGTTTTCTTCCGATTTCTCTTGAGTAGACGGTATCACATCTTTTTCTTGTTCTGACTTATTTTCATCATCTTGTTTTTGTTGTTCAAAAACATTATTAAATGCTTCACCTATTGCATCTTCTAGGTTCTCTTCTGATTGTTCTGTTCCAGGTTGCTGTGATTCATCCTTCTCTCCGACATCTTCTTCAGCATTCAGTTGCTTCATAACATTGTTAACAGTATCTACATTCTTATCTTCAATGATTCCTTCCTGCACGGGTTCGTTAGACTGTAGTTGTTCATTTTCCTTTTGTTGCACTTCTTTGTTTACTGCTTCTTCTTGAACAAAAACATTGTTAAAAGCTTCACCAATTGCATCTTCTAGGTTTTCATCCGTTTTTTGTTTTTCAGCCTTGTCGGCACTGATGTCTTTACTTGTTGACTCCACTTGTTGAAACACATTACTGAAAGCTTCACCGATTGCGTCTTCAAGATTATCTTCCGGTTCCAGTTTACTAGCTTGAACATCTGCCTGTACCTCTTTGTTCTCATTTCCTTGACTTTCAGGTTGTATGGCTTCATTGAAAGCATCTCCAATTGCATCTTCCAATTCATCTTCCGATTTCTCTTTGGTTGACGGTATGTGCCCATGACTTTCCTTGCTTACTTCTACTTCATGGTTGAAAACATCTCCTAGTGCTTCTCCTATTGCATCCTCCAATTCATTATCTCTGTGATTCTCTTTAGACGGTATTGTCGATGATAATTCTTTCGCTATTGTTGTGTCATTATTTTCAGATACGACAGTATCTGATGGTTTTGATGCAATATCACTGTTATCCTCCTTATTATCTTCAATATTGCGATTCTGATGAGTTGTTGCTTGGTTGAAAACCTCTCCGAATGCATCTCCTATTGCACCCTCCAAGTCATCCTCGAGGTGTTCTGAATGTTCCTTTTCTGAGGCTTGCCTATCTTCACTGCTTTCTTGTTGTATTTGAGATGTATCTGTGTCTCTGCTTTGAACATTACTATCTTCAATTGTATCAGCTTCAGTTTGGTTGAAAACATCATTGAATGCATCCCCAATGGCATCATCTAAATCCATATCATCATCATCATCATTATCTTCACCTTCTTTATTATGCTCCACCTCATCCACATCCATTCGATCATCACTAGTCTCCGACTCTTCCGGTTGGTGTCCTTGCTGTTCATTGTGTCGTATATTAGTATCATCATCATTATTATTTCCCTCTTCAAATCCAGTATGATTGCTTATACTTTGAAAATCAAATTGATCAAATACATTTCCTATAGCATTTTCCAATTCCAGCTGATGTAATGCCCTGCTTATCGGTCTATCTGAACCCTGTATATGTTCAGGTTGGGACTGTTGTGAGTGATCTTCTTGATAATGCTGTCTATTTAATGATTCTAATGAATATGTTATAGTATGACTTAAGTTATCCTCATCTGAATTGTTGTTTATATTATCATTGTCAGTCTTGTTATTGTCTGACATAATTTATACTGTATGTCTATTTGTTGTTAGGTGGAAATACTGATTGGTTGCTAAATCGTCTGTTTAATGTTTTGGTTGCAAATTTTGTGGAGTGTAAGAAAGATAAAGAAAGACTTAAGGGGGTTTAGGGTTGTAAAAAAAATGAAAGTGTGATTTGTTGTGACTGCTTTTTTTTTTTACATACTAATAGTTTTGTTTACTTTTTTTGTTGATGGGCAATTAAGTAGGGTCGTGTATTCATGATCAATATTACACAAAATTCTATATATACAAAGATACAGAGACACAAGAAAAAAAAATTGCAGTTGCAACAATTTTTGCATTCAAGTTTCTTCTCTTTCTTCTTCTTCATCTAATAATGCAAAATTAATAATTAAACCGGGTATACCTTCATCTACTGATTGAAGTCCACCTTTCTTAATAGTCCAATTAAAGTTATTGAACTTCTCATTAGCATATCCAGTTACATCAAAATCAAATTTAGGTATTGAAACGGCATATCTTGAATCAGCTAATTTCATATAATCAGTATCAAATTGTAAAGTATATGGAATACCTGCTCTGAACGTGAAACTTTTACATGTTTGCATACTTCCAAAATATTTAATTCTTCCCTTTGAATCCTGGGGAATTCGTTTATCTTGTTCTACTAAATTTTCTTGACAATTTATTGGTCTCTTTTTATTATTTATAACTAATGGTATTTGGTTAAAATTATCAATCCCCATATATGTGAATCCATTTACGGCCATTCCATAAATATAAGGTTTATCATTACTTACCTCACCTTTTATAGAATCAGTAACTAGCCACGTGAATAATTTCAATCCGGTATTCAACACGCTTGTTGGTACATAATCCCTAATGGGATATGTGAAATCATTACCAAATATCAACTCACCTCCATTGATATTCTGATTAGGAATAAACTCTATAATTAACCGTAAGTTTGGAATATGCAATTCATTCTCCGGTGGTACCGCTCTCGGAGTATTTGATATACGCTTCTCACCATTTAGCAACAACTCATCATGCAAATTATATGAACTATTTGAAAGATGGGGTTTCGACCCATCAAAGTTTCTAATATTTAGAATAACTTTAAACTTTCCGATCGAAGATTCAATTTCAATTGGTTCCATTGAATTGATAGGCACAATTCGAAACCCTTTTTCATAATTATCACTAGCTTTTATGAATAGTCTTTTAACAAGCGGCATGGTCTATTACTTTGAGAATGGAAAGAAAAGTTAAGTTTATCCCGAATCGTTTGCCTTCAAATTCCAGATGATTTACATAAATTGTTAGTCATTAAATTGCGGCTGTTCGGGGAATATTTTAAGATTTTGGTTCCATTGAATGACACACGACCTTTACCAGATTCAAGATCCAAAACGGTTTTCCGGGTAATCTTTTCCGATTCGCAAGGGTCCTAATAAAAAAACTATATCAGATGAATATTGTTTGCTTGCTTATTCCATGGCTGGCCCCCCCTTAAAAATATATGATTGCAAGCAATTTAAAGGAATATCCTCGAAAATTTTGAAACCTTTATATGCGCATATTCCATTTAACAGCATATTAAATAGTGGGGGATTGTTGTTCTTTATCTATTTTAAGTACTGTAAGTGCATACTTACCAGCCAAATTACATCTTAATCCCACATTTTGCAAAAAGAGTAATATAAAATTCTACGTCATGCTTTTATGTTACATAATAAGGCGTGTATAATTTTGTGATTTCATTTTATAAAACTTGGAGAAGGTAGTTTACTATGTAAAATGTGTGAGAATAAAACAATTGCGTTGGACCTTCCGAATTCAATTTAAAAATAAAAGAAAAAAAAAACCTCAGAAACGTCCTGGAAAAACCGAACACAAAGAAAACGGTTAATTATTGGTCACCCTGGAAAAAAACTGACACTTTGCCACAAGCTAATTACTAAGCAAGTCGGTGTTGTTTAAGATATTAGAAAAATCTATGTTTGTTGTCATCACCGATGACGTTATTACTGGCATTTAGTAACATTTCCGTAATATGACGAAACCAGGGTTCTATTTTCATAATGTTTATGTAAGAAAAAGAAACGACATTGAAGGAAATGTCGTTTTATCGGAATTGACTCAAACTGCTCAACGTTTTTTTTTCTATTTAACTAAGCAAAAATTATTTTTTACGGTTTTTTATTTTATTTTTTTCCGCGTTTCTTTGTTTTATTGCTAAAAGAAATTTTTCAGTTCCTTTTTTTTTTAAAGTGTGTGGGTCCCCCCTCCCACCAGTGTATGTCCCCCAGGCAATCAATCAACGAAAAATAAAATTATAAATATCTGTCAATTTTCTCTCTAATTGAAAATTTCAATTCTTTCTTGATTTCTTCTTTCTTCTCTTTTAATCATCATCATATAATTACAATGTCTTCCAACTCCTTAGAACAATTAAAAGCCACCGGTACTGTTATTGTTACCGATACTGGTGAATTCGAACAAATTGCCAAGTACACTCCACAAGATGCTACCACCAACCCATCTTTAATCTTAGCCGCTTCTAAGAAGCCAGAATATGCTAAAGTCATTGACGTTGCTATTGAATACGCTAAAGACAAAGGTACTACTCCAAAGGAAAAGGCTGAAATTGCTCTTGATAGATTATTAATTGAATTTGGTAAGAATATTTTACAAATTGTTCCAGGTAGAGTTTCTACTGAAGTTGATGCTAGATTATCTTTTGATAAGGAAGCTACTATCAAGAAGGCTTTAGAATTAATTGAATTATACAAGACTCAAGGTATTGACAAGGATAGAATCTTAATTAAGATTGCTTCCACTTGGGAAGGTATTCAAGCTGCTAGAGAATTAGAAGCTAAATACGGTATTCACTGTAACTTAACTTTATTATTCTCTTTTGCTCAAGCTGTTGCTTGTGCTGAAGCTGGTGTCACTTTAATCTCCCCATTCGTTGGTAGAATCTTAGATTGGTACAAGGCTTCTACTGGTGAAACTTACACTGCTGAAACTGATCCAGGTGTCATTTCCGTCAGAGCTATCTACAACTACTACAAGAAATACGGTTACAAGACCATTGTCATGGGTGCTTCTTTCAGAAACACTGGTGAAATTAAGGCTTTAGCTGGTTGTGATTTCTTAACTGTTGCTCCAAAATTATTAGAAGAATTATACAACTCTGAAGAACCAGTCCCAGCTAAATTAAATGCTGAATCTGCCAAGGCTGATACTGTTGAAAAGGTTACTTTTGTTGATGATGAAGCTGCTTTCAGATTCGCTTTAAACGAAGATGCTATGGCTACTGAAAAATTATCTCAAGGTATTAGAGCTTTCGGTAAAGATGCTGTTATCTTATTAGAACAATTAGAAAAGAGATTCTAAACTAGCACACGTTTCTCCATTTCTTGAACATATACACATATATAAAATATTTTAATTCTCTATTTGTCATTTCTTTTTTAATACAAAACTTAATTATCGTTAAATTCTCCACACCATTGCCAGGGACTCGGTGTTTAATAAATAATGTTAGCTGTTGCTGACAAATTGACGTGATACTCAAGTTTCTTTTTTGTTTGATCTGTCTCGAGCAAGCCACGAGACCGGTAGCGGAGCAATGGCTTTGTTTTTTATTCTTCGCATCGCACATCTCCGAGACTCAAATTGTCGGGACAGTAACCCTTGTATTTCTAGAATCAGACCCAACAAGCAATTGAATGACGACATTTTCTATCTGTCATACTAATGCGACATTTGTTGGCGAAAATTTCCACTAATTGTACTCCTGTGAAAAATTCCTAGTCCCCATACTCATATGAGTTATCAGCCAGAATTAAACGTAAGTACACCTCTGCCAAATGCCACGTCCAAAAACTGACATCCCAGAAGAACCCCAATCGCCCTTCCCCCTCGTCGAAACTTCAACCGTCATAACAGGATTTGGAAGAGGTTCATCCGAACTAGGAATCCCCACGGCCAATATCCCAATCAACGATGATATCAACAAATTAGACACGGGGATCTATTACGGTTGGTGTAGATTAATCCCCCATTCTGGACAATCCGATTCCATCACCCATAGAATCAATTGTGAAGATCAAGAAGTGGTATTCAATCATGGTAATCAACTTGCAGGACAAGAATTGGATGTATTACCGATGGTGATGTCAATTGGATGGAATCCATTTTATCATAATAAGAGTAAAGCAGCTGAAGTTCATATTATGCATAAATTTGATAATAATTTTTATGGAGCAGATATTAAATTTGCGGTGTTGGGATATATTAGACCAGAATTGGATTATACGACCAAAGCGGCTTTGATTGAGGATATTAATTTAGATATTAAGATTGCAGTAGAGATACTCGAAAGAGATGCCTATATGAAGTTTAGAACTTTGGTTGCATAAAACCGGTAGTTTTTGAGGCACAGGTAAGATGAAATTTTGCCAAGCTCGTTTTCATCAATGTGATTTTTGTTTTTCTGGTTTGTGTTTATGTTTGGGTTTTACTTAGAATAAGTCTAGACATTTCTTGTATGTAAGTTAGTCAGCTAGTCAGTTAGTCGATTGTGTTATTTATTATGAAAGTTTCATTAATTGTACTCACTGTGTAAATAATATGTAGTGACATTGACGCAAGTAAAGTTTATGGTTGAGTCATGTGCCTCTGATTACCCCAAAAAAAATTAATTTTCAGAAAAGCAATTCCACTGTGAAGTCTACGATTTACCCCCTTAAACCGAATCATCTAAAAAACTATAACTTCCGAATACAATTTCTATCATTATCAATCCCAGTATATACTTTCCTGTCGATATATATATATAATCTAATTCCATAATGAAGCTATCCCGTCGAATATTGGTCTCCACACTACTCATCGCCATAACCTTAGCTGCTAAATCTGCACCCTTAGATGACCCCGATTCCAAGCAATGTTATATCCCCAAATTGACAGGAGATAATTGCCGATATATAAGGAAACATTGCGATTCGTCATATTTCACATTATCAGCATGGTATTATTGTTCATCATCTTCATACCCATGGGAATTGGCATTAGGCGGTCTTTCATTAATAATTCTAAGTTTGTTAACATTAATCCTAGTTTCTTTGAGTATATTGGTTTCAAATTATTTATTTCGTGATTTGAATGAATTAACTAAGATTTTGGGAATAAATAATCAAATATTGAGTTTTATTTTGGTGCCTCTAACCAACTCATTTCCGGATTTAATTAACTATTTCGTGGCTTTGGATTCGAATTCGGCAGATTTGGTTATTGGACAAATTGTTGGGTCGATTGCTATTATGTTTACTGTTATAATTGGATTAATTTGTATCTTTGGTCATAATTTCATAGTGGAGCAACCGCGATTGTTAACAATTGATTTGGCATGGGTTTTGATAATCATTACTTTATTTCTGATTATATTATCAGATGGGAAAATTACCCTTGTGGAAAGTGTAATTATGTTAACCACCTATGTTGCATATATCATATTCTTAATGTTGTTCGATAAAGATAAATTACGAGATTTTGATGAAGAATTACTTATCGAACATGAAGATCATCAAGATATTTTGGAACAACCCTATAATATCGAAGATGCAATGAGTATCCTTGCTGCAAGAAGAAAAAACAATCGACCAGCCATAATTTCAAGGCCATCTTCACTTCGAACTGTTTCCCTGCCACAAGTCCCAAGAAGGGTTGCTTCACCAATGAGAACATCTGCATCATCTCCAGTAAAACAAATGGCGAGGTCTGTATCTTCTTCAGTTATTTCTCCGCCAGGATCGCAACCATCATCACAAAAGCCATCACCTGAAGGAAAACCGAAGGGAGCTTATGGTGATTTTTTGACAGTCACCTATGAACATCCTGACGAAACTACTCCGTTAGGAACACCTAGTCCCGCACCAGAAGCTGCACAAGAAGCTGCACAAGAAGCTGAACCACAGAAGCCAGAGAAATATCATTGGATTGAATACTTTTTCATTGCAATTGAATTTGTGTTGTTTATGTTAGTACCGGTGCATAAAGATGTTGAAGAAGATAGTTATCATTGGAAATCAAAATTTAAGAAATATTGGTGGTTAAAATATTGGTATCTTATAGAAGTTCCTTTATTACTTAATTTTGAAGTTTTCAATTATTCATATTGGTATGTATTACCGGGGATTCTAATTTATATTCCTATAGTATTGCTTATTGTTCCTCATGTTAAAGACAGTCATATTGTTATTGTTATTACTTCAGTTGGGATTGTCAATAGTTTGGTAATCGTTTCCATGATGTCGATTGTCCTTTTACAATTATTAAAGAATTTAGGATTGATTTGGAGAATATCGGATTATATATTAGGATTGATTGTATTTTCAGTGAGTAATTCTGTGAATGATTTGATAACGAATTTGACATTAGCAACCAAGATCAATCCAATATTGGGTATAAATTCATGTTTGGGTACGCCATTGTTATTAATCTTATTAGGTGTAGGGATTAATGGAGCAGTCGTGACATCTAGAACAAAGCATCCCGTCAAATTTCATTTGACTAATAATATAATAATCAGTACCTTTGCATTGTTGGTGACAATTATATTACTTTTGATTTATCTACCACTTAACAAATGGCATTTTGATAAGAAATTGGGATATACATTACTTGCATGGTATGTTATTATAACTACGATTAATTTGTATTTAGGCTAAGTTCATAATCCTCGTCAAAAGACTTTACGGTTTCATTTTTAGTATTGTTGTTGTTGTTTGCAATTGTATCTTGATTTTTGGTAAGTTTATTATATGCATTTTGATAAAGCCCTCCATTTCTTCCTTTAAAAAACTCGGGTTCAAATTCTTTAAATAGGGACACTTTCTTTTCATGATCAATTGGGTAATTTAATAGGACATTAAAAAACCAATCATTTTGAGTTTCTTGAATGATTTGTTTAAATAAATTTATGATGTACTCATCATCATCTTTATTCAACATACTTTCAATACTAAGTAATTTTTCATATATCGGTATTGGAATTGATATGTTGAATTTAATATAATTTACAAGTAAATCTCTTGCTCGTAAATACTGTTTTAAAAATATTTCAAGATCGATCAATTTGATTAAGGGCCTATAATCCCCGTTGTAAATCAACCCTCGAGATAATGCTTGTTTTGCCAGGTTATATTTTCCATGAAATATGTAAAAATCAGCTAATTTAATCCAAGAATCAGGATATTGTGCGGTGGAATATAGGAACCTATGTAATGTCAATTCAATGAATGAAAATGGATATTGTTTTAATTCTAAAAATTCCAAATATTGATACCAAGTATCGAATTGTTGCTTAGATATAATTTTCACGTCAAAATATTGTCTTGAAAGTTTCTTTTCGAAATTAAACAATTCATACACCTTGAATTGAGTAGTTATATATGCACCCATGAATGAATTCTTTAATTCTATTGATAATGACTTATTATCCTTATACGTAAATTTCGCTGGGGCAATTAATGAGATAAGCTTGTTATCTTCCTCTTGACCAATTTGAGCAATAGCATCAAAGAATTTTTTATAAAAGTATTCATAATGATAGATTGGAATCTCAATTATAATTCTCAATAACACATAATATTTCTTCAAGAATTGATTCGAATCAGTTTGGAAATTTTCTAAAAATGACAAATATAATTTATAAAATTCATAAGAATGGAAATGATATCCAATTAACTTCCTAGCCTGTTCAAATAAGTTTAATATTTCATTTAAATTATTAGTTAAAGTATTCATTTTAAATTGTAAATAAGAAATCCATAATTCAATACAATAATTCAAATGTTGTAAACCTTCAAGATAGATTTCATTAGCACGTGAAGTATTGCCCAATTTAAACTCCCAATCAGCATATCTTATCCAATAATTGAACAATAAAGGAAATTTCTTGAGCAATTGTCTATAAGATGATCGTAATAATTCCAATTCTGGTGGTGGAGTCACTTTGGTGATGCCTCTCTTCTCATTGAATTCAGCAGTTTCAACTAATCGTTGCCAAAGATTTAAGTTATTTGGATCTTGTATTAATTCCGTTGATACCGTTGACCATTCCTTGTTTATTATTTCCATTCTAGACTTCTATCTTTAGTGGATTCTCTTTCTTTGGTTGTAAAAAGAATATCAATCCAAAATTTGGTTGTAAAAAAAAAGCTCAACCAAATTTTGGCAGCGATGGGAGAGCGTGGTAGCGCCTGGATCAAATGTAATTAGTTGCAGCTTGTTACAAGTTTGGTTGAAGAAGATAACTTTACAGGAGACCTGGCTGAAATATTATTTTCTGAAGACACTTGACTTCTATTGTTTGCATATCATTTGTAACCAATTTATAGAACGTCTCCCAAAGATATTTTTTGTACTTGAGGAGTACCATTCTTATAGTCTCAGATATTTTAAATGCAAAATGAGTTCCAACTCGCTTTCTCTCTCTCGAGAAAAGAAAAAAATAAAAGATTTTTCAGCCATCTCTCGATCTCTCTCTCTGTGTAGATCCATCAACCACGACATGTCAGACGACGAATTTGAATCAGGAGGACTTTTTGAAGAACCAGAAGGGTTCACTCCACCCCCACCATCATCCCATTTCGCAAAATACACTAGAAAATCCACCACTGTCACCCCTACCGAAATCACCTTAAAACTAGTTGGAAAATCACCACTTTGGGGCCATTTATTATGGAATGCTGGGATATATACTGCTGATTATTTAGATAAACATGCTGACACACTTGTATCGGGTAAAAAAGTGCTTGAATTGGGTGCTGCTGCTGGATTACCTTCGTTGATTTGTTCTTTAAATAATGCTAAGGAAGTTGTATGTACTGATTATCCTGATGCTGATTTGATTTCACATATTGATTATAATTTTGAACATTTAAAGAAAGAAGGAGGGGATAAGATGAGTGACTATAGAGTCCAAGGATATATCTGGGGTCAAAATATTGTGCCATTAGTATATGGCCCAGAAGAAGAAGGTAAGTTACAGGAACAAGATATTAAAGAAGAAGATAAGTTTGATTTAATTATCTTATCTGATTTGGTGTTTAATCATACTGAACATCATAAATTGTTGAGTACTTGTCGTAGAGGATTGAAATCTACTGGGAAATGTTTGGTTGTTTTCAGTCCTCATCGTCCTTGGTTATTGGAAAATGATTTGGAATTCTTTACAACTTGTGAACAACATGAATTTAAATCAGAAAAGATTGAATTGGTGAATTGGAAACCAATGTTTGAAGAAGATGAAGAAACCGTTGAAATTAGATCAAGGGTTTATTCTTTCTTCTTAAATCCACAATGGTAATAATACCCAACACACATTCATTTCTTCATTTCCTCTGTGTATAATAATAGTAACAAAATAATTTAATAGACATATAAATGCAAGTGTAATAGATCTTCTCAAAATGAATAATAATATGTATTAAGACAAAGATATAAAAACTAATGTAACAAACCTCATGTATGATCAACCTATATGTTTTTCCAACATGATTTAAAAAATTTCATTAACCATTAAATCTATTGAGAAGCTGGAGATGGGTTCATCTTTCTCTTACCGTTAGTTAAGGTAACATTGACGAATCTTCTGGTGTATAATAAACGAACATAAGCTCTACCTTGAGGCTTCTTTGGCTTTTCTTGCTTTTCAACCTTTGGAGTTTGAGATTTAACTTTACCAGCACGAGCTAAGGAACCGTGAACTTTACCCTAAAAAAATAGATGTTAGTATATAATGAACTTCTTGTGTGTGTTGTTTTGAGGTATAGATTCATTTGAGTTGGGTTTAATCTTCCAATTTGGACATATGCTGACAAATAAATGGATCTTGAATAAGTCCTCTTCTAAATCTTCAATAAATTTGGTAAAATTTTCAATAGCCATTAGGCCATCATTGTTTGACTCTGTAGTAGATAATACATTGACTCGTTTGATATATTCAATACAGAAAGGCGAATCTTTCTGGTTGCTGTCTGAACTTCCGTTCATTTGCCCTTCATTCCATCTGACTTAATTCATGACAAACTTGCCAATAATTGTAGTAGTCCATCCATCTCAGTCTCTCTCAATAGTGATATCTATAGTTTCATCCTCAACATGGTCATCCCTTCACATACCATTTTGACGATATATTATATGTATAGGTTTATATGGAGAAAGTAAGAAAAGGAGAAATTTCTAAAAATGAGAGGGAAAATTTTTTTTCTATTAAGAAATTTGGTTTTCCTTAGTTGGGGTGGATTTTGTTAGTAAATGATGTTTTGTATGGTGGATGTAAGAGACAAACGTTTGTGTGTAAGAGAAAGAAGGTACAATCATCTTTTCTACAGGTTATATGGATAAACTGTAATTGTTAATTTTACATGTTAAAATTTTTACATGTTAGAATTTTTACATGTTATGCCAATTTCCTAATAGTATTTAATCACGTGCCATTGGGAAGAATTAGGGCTCTGCCCTAACAATGATACATTTAACACGGGTTCTTGACGAGGATTAGCTCATCGATCATTACTAAGTTACAGTTAAAACAATTGCTTTATCATTACTTCGTACTATATTACAGTATATCTATACATATTCATCAAGGGAGACTCACGTTCAATACCTCTATTCTAAGATGTTGATATAATCATATAAAATGTACTTGCAATAATTATAAACACCAAACTAATCAATATTAATATTCCCAATCTAGTAGCAGGATACTGATTCTTAGTTAATAAATGCTGTACTTTAAAATATCTCTCAACCCCAAATAATAACGTTACAATCCCCATAAATATAAATATTGAACCTAAAGGTTTTCCATACTTAACTATGGAATTTATTGGTTCATTTCCGACATCGCTTAGATCTATAAATGCAGATTCATGCATGCTAACTCTTAAATTTGAAGATTTATCTAATCGAAATAATTGTGTTATTCCGATTCCAATTGTGACTAATGCTAATGAAGTTCTTAACCATGCCAAGAATGTTCGTTCATTGGCCATATGATCTCGAGCTACTGATCCTTTGTTTTCTAATGTGAGTGAACGATATTTGGATGTTGATACATCGGATGTATGTTCTTGCTGTTGTTGCTGTTGTTGTCGTGATATGGATGGAGTTCTTTCTCTGGACTGCGAGGAAGCTCGTTCTCTGGAATGGGAGGCAGTTCGTTCTCTGAAGTGTGGCTCGGTCATCGTTTATCGTTTAGTTAGATCTAAAATTTATTTATAGATTTGAAACAAATGTAACAGGTATATTAAAGATGGACTAGGATCTGGATGAAATAGTATTAGATGATGGACTGATGACAGATGAAGTGTCTGTTTTTGGAATTGATTTCAAGGGTACATTACGGCGTTCGTTATCGATTATTATTCTTGTTCTCCTCGGTAATAAAAGACTCGGGTAGAATTACGCAACATTTTTAAAAACTGTGGATCCAAAATTAATTTAAACAATTAATTTAACAACCGAAAAAAACACAAAGGCAATTAATTTTTCCATTGACACTTCAAAGAATTGCAAAATGTTTCACAATTGATTTTTGCAGTCATCTATTATAACGATAGGACCAAGCTATTGCAGCCATCTAAATTGCTACTAGCGCATCAATAATAACGGCACTGATATCCATGTAGTAAGTTGAATCCGGTAACAAAGGCCGTAGTGCAGCATGAGCTATTTGCAGCCATTATTTGCTTCAACGTGTCTCGGAGAGATGTAAAATAATCGTATCTCTATAAATAGTTGGAATAGTGAAACATGTGAAAACGTCGAGGGTTAATATTTCTAGTCTTATCTTTACTACAGAATTCGAATTTTTTGTTCCAATTTCATCAAAAACTCTGCTAAATTCGTACAAACTAAATTTCATTTCCCTAAATATACAAACACGGAAATAATTATAGCAATCTCAAATGTACATTTCACTAGAAGCTATCCCTTATCTCAATTATGAAATAGTGTCGAGGGGGATAGTCTAGTTTAGGGAGGAGGTTGTAAGGGTGAAACTATTGTCTGTGCTGTTTCATCAAGCCTCATCTAATGGAGCGGAAAAAATTATTCCTTGACCTAATCTTGCTTTTATGGTAGCGCGGATAAAATAATCTAATTGCACGGAGATCCTTTGCTAGTAAAGTTAGCTAACTAATTTGAATACCATAGAGACTTTACAAGAGGAAGAATACTACAGAGTAAGTTATATGCTAAAAATGCTCCTCTATTAAAATTGTTCAAATATGAATATATATATATGCCTATAAACTAACGCCAAAATTGTTCTAGTCTTAAATACCGATTATCAAAAGAATAAAACCGCCAACCCGAAAAATGCAATAAATGACCCACTCAAAACGCTTGTCAAGAGATATCCCCTAGCGCCAATCTCATCACCACCACTAGCTCTTCTAATTAATGACCCACCAGCACCACCTTGAGAAACTGTAACCTCTTCATATGACCGAATCTCCCCCACTGAACCACTAATGGTTCCTAATCCAATCTCACCCAGTTGTGGAGTTGCCACGGCGGTGTACATAGATGAGAATTGTTGGGTATATGGAGATTGAGTGGTTACTAAGTTTCCATTGGCGTCGGTGCCTGTTACCCATACCAATGTGGGTGATGCGGTGGTTGGGGTTGTGTTAGTTGTGGTGGTTGTAGTTGCTGGGTCGGCTGCAAATGCCATTGCGACAATTATGAATAAGTAGGTTGTTATGTATAGGAATGTATTCATTGTGAAATTGTTATGTGCTTGATTATGGGGTTTGTTGTTGTAAGTTGGAATGCAATTGTATGGAAGTGTGTTATAAATAATGCGATGGGCTGAGCTTGCGCAGTAAGATGAATTATGTATTAGACGTGAGTGATGGATGTATGCAAAAGTTCTAACCGGTCGTTTGGTTTGATTAATGTTTAGATTCCTTTCTATGGATATCCTTTTAAGTGAGATATTTTTACCTAGAGGAGAAAGAAGGAGGTGGAATACGGAGGAGGATTAGATGATTTTAAATAAAAAAAAAAATTAAGGGAAAAAGGAATGATGATTTAATTAGAAATTGTAAAAAATTATTTTTAACAAAATAGCCGTAAGCGCATAAAAAATAATTTTATTTTTAAGCCCTGGATCAATTAAATTACAGACATTTTTTTTGGCTGTCAAACACAAAAAGAGCCTACTCATAGAAGCTCTATCAGTTGTCTAGTTGATATATAGATTAAGTCAATGGAGGATCATCGAGAGTCACAAGGGACGCAGACACATATTAGATGTCACCCATGTAATCTTTTCCGGAAATGTGGCCAGAAAAACTATCAAATGAAATGAAATTAAAGTTTTGCGGTTAAATGTCGCGGAGAAGGGAAAATGTCGTATTCATTAACAATTCTAAAGATAGAAACAAACAGGCGCAAGACAATACAACAGTTACGATAGCGAAACAATCACTCCAATTATGACACAGTACATCCAAATAAAACGGTCCGATGAGATACCATACTGATTACACAAAAGTTGTTGAACTTCATCCTTTGTCTGTTTCAATTATGAAATTGAAAGATGGCAGTTTGGTCCACTGTGCTTTATACCGTTCTGGACCAGGGAGAACTTTCGATTGTTTGTCTATACCAAGAGAGAAAAAGTTTAACAGATGAATAGACCCCGAGTCAGTACGTAGGGGATTGGGCAATGAGGTGTGTGTTGTAATCCTTGGCTTCATTTTTTTTTCACACTCAAAACGTATCATTTTGTGTAATCGATCCTTGTTGCTAGTTAAAGATATGATGAAATTTTTCAACTCCCTTTCGAAAGTAAAAGCCAAAAGCAACCCTTACTCCTTGATTTATTCCCTATACCAAACTTGTAACTATACAATACACTGCAAATATTAAACAACTTTTTATTATTCTTCTCAGCCTCTGCTTTATGTCTCACCCTTATGTTTCTGAAAAATGTATTCAATTTCTCAGCCAAGGCTGTTTCCCATTACTATTACGTACTTGAAATGAATGAATGAAAATTCTAGAATTTTTATTTTTATTTTTGTTCAACTTTTTCTAAAATTTATTTTTTTGTTTTAGAAGAATTACCTCGGGTTTAAATCTCTGAATCACACTGAAACCCCAAAGGCAAATGCCGTTCCACTGATCTCTATACCTAATCAAAACAACAACAACGAGACCAGAGATATTCTTATCTTTGTCCTGGTGTCTCTTTAATTGCTCAAATATTCTATGTGTATTTTAATTCAGTGTAACAACTGGAAGTTTAATCTCACATGCTATTAATAGCAACATCCTTCAATTTTTGCAGCAAAGCCCTCAGGAATCCGAGCCCTATCTATACTCCCTTACTCCTTTACCACATTCGTAGTCTCATTCTCCAAATGCGGTGTCATATGAAATAATCAATTGCAGGTTTCTTTGACGGTATTGCACTAACATCTTGAGTGGCAGCTTCAAATACTTTATACTCACGATTTAAATTATCATCAATTGTCAATACACTAGCAACATTCCCACATCGATAACAATAATTAGGAGCAGACCAAACTGTTACCAATCCACTATTAAACATTTCTTTATACCCCTCCATTACCAATTGATGTGCCCTAGCAATCAAAGAAATCTTATTCCGATGTAAAAATTTCTTTACTTCGTTCTCCCCAAATAAAAACCCGGCACCTCTAGGTGATATAGCCCAACCATTAACATCTTCAGGATCTGACCATAATAAATCACACATCCCACCTTCATGTGGAACCTCTTGTTTTCTATCCAATATTCTAATTTGATCAACAGTATCGATTTCAGGACTCAATCCTCCATGAATACAAAATACACCATTTTCACCACCAATTATCGCACCTAATGAAAGATAATCAAATACTTCACAACAATATCGCCATACATTAACAGTCCCATATTTTCTCATACATTCATCATAAAACCCATATACGGTGGTGATTTGTCTACTTTCATGATTTCCTCTAATCAAAGTCATTCGATCAGGATATCGAACTTTCAACGCCATTAATAATAAAAAACTTTCTAATGAATAAAACCCTCGATCGACAAAATCTCCAAGAAATAAGTATTGAGTTTGAGGACATGGTCCACCAGTTTTGAATAAAGTGATTAAATCATGGAGTTGTCCATGGATATCTCCACATATTGTGACTGGGGTGTCTATATGTTGAATATTTGCTTCCTGGATGAGAAGCTCGATTACTTTTGTGCAGAGTTCTTCAACATCTGCTTCTGGGATGGGTTTGCATTGTTTGATGTTTTCAATGGTACTAAATACGCGTTTTTGTTAGTAAATTGAGGCTGGTTGTTGTAATAAATTCGTAAGGTTTACATACTCATCAAGATTTAGCATCGTTTACGTGTGTTTGTTTCTCCTCTTCTTTATCTTGTGCTTTGGCTATACAGTTTATTGCTGATTACGTGGTCTCTGATTTGATGTTTTGTTTGAAAGTTGTGTGGGTTTTCAGGTTTTCCGCGAATCGCGATTTTTTCTGAGAATTTTTGTGTGACTAAAAATTTATCAAATTTATCACGTCAACCGTTTTAGCTGCGAATGCCTTGCATGAGATTTTGGGTGCGAAATTTTATTAACTTTAAAGAAACACATCTAATTAAAAATACATCATGAACTAAAGAAGAAACTTATAAAAACATATATATAAGACAAAGAATGGAAAGACAAACATAAGGAACTTACCTTGCTCTTGTAGGTAAAGTATATTTCTGGAATTTAGCTTGTAATTGTTTTCTAACAGTAACCTTTTGAGTACCAACAAAACTATCAATACTAACTTTAATAGCTCTATTTAAATCATTTTGACTAACAAAATCACTTAATCTCATCTTAGCAAACGATTCAGCAATTCTTAAAATAGATTCTAAATGACGAACAGTAATTGGGAACGAACCAGTAGTTATAGATTCTTTTCTTAAATCAGCATATACTCTTGCTACTTTATCAATATCCATTTGATGTAATTTAGGTTGAATCTTAACTCTAGCATATTGAATATATTTCATAAGAGTTTCTTGTGGAATTGAAGAAATTTCCAGTTCTTTCTCTCTGTATAATTGAGAAATCTTTTCTGATCTAGATCTACGTGCTCTCTTGGCACCTTCTTCATCATCATCATCCATGTCATCTTCATCATCTTCAATATCTTCAGTATTAGAAGGATGCGATCTCATATGTGAATCAATAACAAATCCAGCCAATCTTTCATCACTCTCAGGATTAACCAAATCACGAACCACACATAAAATATCAAATCTTGATAAAATAGGTTCAGTCAAATTAACATTCTGAGATAAAGGTAATGTCGAATTATATCTTCCACCATTTGGATTTGCTGCCGCCACAATCGAACATCTAGCTTGTAAAGTAGTAACAATACCGGCCTTACTGACAGAGATCGTTTGTTGTTCCATAGCTTCATGAATCGAAGTACGATCTTGATCTTTCATTTTATCAAATTCATCAATCAAACAAGTTCCCTTATCCGCCAATACCAACGCACCACCTTCCAATGTCCATTCACGTGTAATAGGATCCTTTCTAACTGAAGCAGTCAACCCAACAGCGGAAGCACCTTGACCAGTGGCGAAAACGGCACGAGAAGCAGTTTTTTCAACATACTTCAAAATTTGTGATTTTGCCGTCCCAGGGTCACCTAATAATAATACATTAATATCACCTCTGATTGATAATTTCCCATTCACATTCTTGGGAACCCCACCGAATAAACTACATGCAACGGCAGTTTTGATATCTTTGTGACCATAGATCGATGGTGCCATTGAAGCGATGATCTTATCGATAATGCCTCGTTCTTGTGACAATTTTCTAAATTCTCTTTCTTCCTCTTCGGTCCAGATATTGACGATATTATCACTGTTACCACCCAAGAAAGCGGTGGTTTCTCTTCTTTTGATAGAATTGGCTTCGATAATAGTGGCGAAGACGGGGAATCCATTCTTGGCATTTAATTGTCCATCATAGTTGTTTTTATATATTCCGGTGACTTCGATTTCTTCACCTGGTTTAGCAACGTCGACTAAATCGGATAATAAGATGATTTCACGATGTCTGGGTAATCTACCGGCTGGAACAGTTCCTGGAGCTTCTTGTAAGGTGATTCTTTGATAGTTTCTATATAAGGTTTTTTCGGAATTCATTTTAAATGGACCTTTACTTTGACAATTAGTACAGAATGAAATTCTAACTTCGGCATTTGCATCTTGAATAAATGGTCCAAGGACAACACCACATTTAAGACAATCGAATTTGACATATTTTAATTGAGGGAAAACACCAGTTCTTCTGGTTACAACTCCTGAAACTTTAATCAATTGATTTAAGTTATTTTCACGTAAATCACGTAAATTCAATTTATTTGGGAAATTTATGATTCTAACATGAATTTCTGAATGAATTTGGGAATAATTAGGATAATGTAATTCAGTAGCTTCCATTGCAACAATATCGAAAATCTTTAACATTTCTTGTGGAGAAGTAGCTAAAAATAATGCCAATATTGCTTTTGAATCAGCTAAATGATTATAACTAACTTCCAAAGATTCAGCATTAACTTCACCCAAAGTTCTAATACGAGCACCATAAACCGATCTACCCTTTGAATCAGTATATTCCAACAAGAAAGCCTTCAATTCACGAGCAATAGATCTACTAACTGCCGGTTGTAAAATCCATTCAGTAATACTTGGAGCCTTAATATCAGTCAAACTTTCCAAACTTAATTCTTCATTAAACGGATCAATTTCAACCTCTTCATCATCCTCCATAAAATCATCTTCCCCTCCATCACCATCCCCCCCTCTCCGTCTTCTTCTTCTCTGAATAGGTAACCCATATTGATCCATCATCCCACCAGCTTCATCTTCATCCTCATCATCATCCTGCAAGAACGCAGTCCGTCTTGACCTATTTGCATTTGACAAAATTGCATCACGACGATTTAATTGCTCATCAATTCTTCTTCTAGTAGCAGCATCCATTTCTTCATATTCTCCAGTATCATCGATTTGTTGGTCACCTAAATCATATCTATCTTGTTCAGGATTGGCACGATAATCACGTTCCATCATATCATTGATCAAATCATCACCATCTTCTTCTTCATCACTGGGGTTTAAATCGGCGATATCGTTGTGGATTTCGTCTTCTTCGTCTAATTCTTCGGCGTTGAATGGGATGGCGGGTGACGATGGGGGGAGTTGGGGTGAGGAGGCGAGATAGGGAGAAGATGGGTGGTGACCGATGGAAGAGTCTGGGTGTTGGTCTTCGGTGTCGTCGGCTTGTCTCTTTCTGGAATTACGAACCGGACTTGACATTGTGTTTATTGTGTGTATTGGTTGTATAAAGCTTGATAAGAAAGAAGAAAGAGTATCAGAGAAAATGAAAATAAAAAAATTGAATTGACATTTTATGAAAAATCTTTTTGAGAGAAAGACGCGTTCAATTTATTTTATGTTTTTTTGTGTCTCGAGAATTTATTAATTAGATTTCCTAATTGGGATAAATTAATTTTTTATGAAGATTGTACACACAATCATATAGTTAGTGTTTTCAATGTATCGTTTAGGTTAATATTCAGCTAAATGACACCGAGGAAAGTCTTGCCAGTCTTGAAGTTGGAATAAAAGATGAGCTGACGTTTCGTCATCGAGAACTAGAATTACAAGTCTCCTTCAACTGTGAAAGTAACAGTAGTTGCAACACTTCATGCAGGACTTATATTTCTATTAAGCTTCACGAATTATTTCTGGGAATGATTCAAATAAAGAATCAAAGAAGCAAATTCCAGCTAATTTTTGATATAGATCTGCATTTAAACGAATCGTTTCTAACTTCTTGGAATGGCGCTACCAACTGATCGCAATCTTCTTATATCACAAAGAAAATGCACTGTTTCTTGTGTTTCACTTATTGATCCATTCGAGATCCTATACGTATAAGAGGATTAATAATTATCGAAATCAGGCTGGTAATTATAAAAGAATTGTAATTTATGTTCTAGATGAAGAAACAATGCGAAGATTCATGGAGTTTTTTTAATACTGGTGATCAAATAGAAATTGAGTACTTCAAGAAATGGATCCTATTGGAGTTGGCTTTTGTCATCCCTACAAGTAATATAAACTCTTTTCTACTCAACAAATAATATGATCTTTGGAGTTCTAAACTTCTTCATTCTTCTAATTACTTAGAAATCTTACTAACCCATGTAAAAAAATAAATCTAAATTTGGGTGCAAAAAAAAAGAAGGAAATAGAAATTAAAAAATAAAACTCATTAAACAATAAGGAGGGGAGCTATAACCCCCTACTCCTCCTATTCCTTTGACCCCTACAATTTTTTACATGTTAATTCTTAAAATTTTTTATTAATAAAAACCTGTCTCCTAAATACCTTTTTATATAAATGAACCAAAAACTATTTTGAGAACTGTAAAAATACACAGTAGTCTATATAAATCATCAAAACCATAACAAAAGATGCACTTTACACTATGTACAGATTAAAAAATGCAAGCTTTTTAAAAAACTTTTCACCTCTTCTTATTCTCTTTATTCTCTTTATTCGGGACCAATTAATAATGGATGATCAGATAAACCAACACAAGTTATATCATGATGATTTCCTTGTCCAGGACCATGTAGATGCCCACAAGGACATTCATAATCACTACTCGATTCCTGTGCCATACTCATCAGTTGCATTTGTTGTTGTTGTTGATATGGTTGCGGTGGTAGCCCACTCATCAGTTGCATTTCTTCATTGTGATGTAATGCTTGCGGTTTGTTCGTAAAATGATCTTCTGTAAGCATCAGGAAATCAACCATTTTATGTTGTTCAACTGGATGTAAATGTGTGTCATTATCATTCATCAAGTATTCATATGATTGAGAATGACTAATTGGAGTAAGAATACCAAATGAGGTTGCATTTACAGCGACATCATGGGTAGGTCCGTGATGGTATTGTCCTTTACCTTCTGGAGTAATAGAACGATGGTGTTGATGATGGTGTGGCTTATGGATATAGTGTTCTTCACTTACGGTTGGACTCATGCTGTGATGGGTGTGATGAGGGCTGCGATGGTGATGATGATGATGGTGGTGGGGTTGGTTATGATGCTTTTCTAAATAATTAGACATTTGTTCTGCTTGGTCTTGCTGTTCTTGTAGTTTCTGTCTCTTTGGGGCTGATTCCAAGGAGTCTATTTGCATTGTCGACATCATTGGAGGATAACTAGATATATGTATTTTGATATGTTTCGTGTAAATTAAATGAAATTTTTTTTCTCAGTATTTAATACTCGAGATTTGAAATTGACAGTGGTAGAAACAATCGATGAGATGAAAACGAGATGAACATACTTAAAGGGTATTTATATACTAAATGAAATTTATTTATGACGGATATGCACGTATAACTTTAATACACTACGAGTGGCGTTATTATATAGGGGAGCACTAATAATAAATATATAAAAGGTAAACAAATGACTTTATCCGGATTTCGCTGTCATCTTTTAGTTCCCACCCCTCCGCCCTTCTTTCTGCGCCCTTTCAAACTATAATTTACTACCACGGCAAGAGGAAAAAGAAACGCGGTTAGTACGGAAAAAAAATATTTTTTATCATTTTTCTGCTGGGGCTGGCTGACTCCCGTGCAACAACAATCGTTTTAAGTCAAAGTTGCAAAAATCTCGTGCTTTCTTTTGCTTTTTCTATTAATTTCTATCGTCTTCTTCTTTCCTTAGAAGTAACTATGATTTTAATATCCAAACAGGAATAAGGAAAGATTTATATATAAAACCATTACGATATTCAAGATAACCGATATACTGAATTTGCAGTTGCTTTGCATACTTCCGGAATACAAAAAATCTTATTCGGAAGTGACGTGTCAAGGCCAGACTCTTAAATTACGAGAACCATGACCAAATCTCATTTACCTTTAGATCACATCACATTTTTATTTTATTTTCAATAATGTTGCCTTCCTTTTTATTATTATTAATTATATTCAATGGTCAGCTACTAATTATTAAAATGTCACGTATTTTGTTGTAATTGAAGTCACGAGCATTGGGGGGGATAAAACGTTTTTATTTAATTGCATTGATTTGCATGTCACCACATTTTTGTAAGTTGTTTTGATTGCAAAAAATTAATTTATTTATAACTTAATACTTTAACTTACATATTGCAATCAAAGCAATAGGCAAGTAAAAGAGATAATAGTATCGACAACTTTCGTTCACTTTCCACAACCGCTTCGATAGAATTTGGTATGGCAACTGTAAGGGGAAATTTAATTGTGTTCCTCGAGAACAATTGATTCTTCCAAAAATTAGAAAGATCAGATCTCAGGTACTACGTAGTTACATACCTATTCTGGTCATCTTGAAGTATTGTCTAGGGGGGAGTATTTCTAAACTTATGCAATTAGTTACTTTGTGTAACTGTTTGAAAAAGCAATCAATCTCAAAAGTTTCTTTTGCTTGGCAGCGCAGCTGTCAATATTCATACACCTAGAAACCTATCTTGAGATTTTTCAGGACAGTATCTTCGACAGGCAGAATATAGAAAAGTTTGCAATTAGTTTTGGGAACTGATCTCTAATGTATATCCTGACATTCTAGATCGCGTTGTAAGTTTACCTGAAATAATTTTACCAACAATGGAACAATAGAATTAATGCCCAATTACGCAATCATTCGTTTAACTTGCAATATGCACTCCAATTAATTTATTATTAGATAAAGAATTTTCATTCAGATCCATTTTGTACTACGAAAATGAAATCTACAACTGTTATTACCACCCCCTTTTCCTTAATCCAAAAGTTCATATGATCCGCTTGACTTAAACCAACTTAGAATTTCAATAGAAGGATAACAATACAGAAAATAGAAAATGGAAACCAATACACACCATCACCACCACCACATCCAAATCAAAGAATCTTTCCTCGTCGGAAGATCTCTCTTGATCTTCACCTCAATATTCGTCTCCCTCGGAGTATTCATCTTCGGATTCGAACAAGGGATAATGTCCTCCCTTATCACCAACACCTATTTCAAAGCCTATTACAACGATCCAACTCCAACAGAAATCGGTATCATGATCTCAATATTAGAAATCGGTGCATTGGGATCTTCGTTCATAGCCGGAAAAATCGCCGATAAGGCAGGTAGACGAAGAACTATTAGATATGGATCGTTTATTTTCATCATTGGGGGGACTTTACAAGCTGCTTCTACCAATATTTGGTATCTTAGTCTCGGGAGATTGATTGCTGGTGTTGCGATTGGATTTTTGACTACGGTTGTGCCGTGTTATCAATCGGAGATTAGTCCTTCCCATCATAGGGGTTTTTATGCCTGTTTGGAATTTACGGGGCTCATTATTGGGTATTCTAGTAGTATTTGGGTTGATTATGCGTTTTCATATATTGAAAGTGATTGGAGTTGGAGAAGTCCCTTGATTCTTCAAGTAGCTATCGGGATGTTGTTATACTTAGGTACTTTTGTGATTGTGGAGACTCCAAGATGGTTATTGGATCATGACCATGATGTTGAAGGAATGATCGTTATAGCTGATTTATATGCCAATGGAGACGTCGAAGAAGAGAATGCAAAAGATGAATATCGAAACATCAAGGAAAGTGTCCTTATTGACCGGATTGAAGGCGGTGAAAGATCTTATAAATATTTATTTCAACGATATGCAAAAAGATTATCAGTAGCTTGTTTTTCACAAATGTTTGCTCAATTTAATGGAATTAATTTAATTTCATATTATGCCCCTTTAATATTCGAATCGGCCGGTTGGGTAGGTCGTGAAGCCATCCTAATGACAGGTATAAATTCCATCATCTATATCATTAGCACAATCCCTCCTTGGTTCTTGGTTGATGATTGGGGAAGAAAACCATTATTATTATCCGGAGCAATCCTAATGGGTCTCCCCTTGTACATCGCCGCATATTCCTTATTCTTAAACAACTCCTTCACTCCCGTCACGGTGGTTGCATGTATGCTGATCACAATGGCGGCGTTTGGATATAGTTGGGGACCAATCCCTTGGTTAATGAGTGAAGTGTTCCCTAATAGTGTTAGATCAAAGGGTGCAGCAGTCAGTACAGCCACGAATTGGCTTTGTAATTTTATAGTTGGGTTTGGATCACCGATTTTATTGGATTTGATAAAGTGGAAGACATATTTGATACCGGCTACTTCTTGTGCTATTTCATTTTTTGCCGTTGGATATTTATTCCCTGAAACTAAGGGGATTAGTTTGGAAGATATGGGGTCGATCTTTGATGATAAATCTTCGATTTTCTCGTATCATTCAAATGGAACTCCGAGCGGAGCATCAAATAGAAGCATTCGTCATTTTGATAGTGAGAATGGTTCCAATAGTGATATTTTACAACAATCTCATGCTTCACTTGTGAGAAGTGCTAGAAGTCCAACACCTCTCATGAGACAGGAATTGGAAGGTAATAGTTCAAACCCACAAATTACAACTCCGTTATTAAAACCGGATACAATGGCTCCGTTAATGGGTTCAGTAGATGCATCGTTGCCGATTGATAATTCGGTCGTGCAAGAAATTGAACCGCCATCGTTTGAACAAATCATTAGATTCAAAGCGAAACAATACAGGAAACCAAATAGATTCACTTCATTACTTTCTAGACATAAGAGGTGTGATTGTACAAGTGAAGAATGTAGTATTAGGAGTTAAAAAAATAAATACAATTATAAACAAATAAATAGATCACTTTAATACAATATCCATTTCAATATCTCGAAGTTGGTCCTTTCTAGAAATTCCTTCCTTGATATTCTTCTTCTCCTTAAATAACTTCTCTAATTCTCGTTCAATTTCCAGAATCAAATAAGTATAATTACATTTCCGTGACCTTACTCTAGATTCACGTAAATATCTTTCAGCTTTTCCATAATCTCCAAGATGTAAACTAACAACCCCTAATCCATAAGTGGCCAACGCAACCGTTTCATTAATTTGATTATGTTCTTTGACAACTTCGGGTGGGAATGATTTTGCAAATTCCAAGACTGATTCATATGCTTTTGTAGCAAGCTTGATACAGATTTTCTTTGAAGAAACGATATTTTGATATAATTCTTTGTCTTCGGTTGGAACTTTGTTTTTCATTGCGTCAAGAATTGATTCTTTATCTTGTTGATCTTCTAATAATGCTTGATTCTTGAACTTTTCATATTCAATCCCAGTCAATTCGGCAAACTTTCTTCTCATTCCAATCTCTTGAGCTTCTAATTCTTCAGCTTGCATATATAACAATGAACCTAAATTACATTGAGATAATAACATCTTGGAAGGTTCAACATCAGCTAATAACATAGATTCAGTCATTGAGATCTTGACCTTTGATGCCATCGCGAGATCACCCGAAGAGATACAGATTGCACTTAATAAATCCATAGCATTGAAGAATTCCTCCGTGAATGGTTCCCATACTTCTGGTGTCTTTTTGATCCGGGTGACTTCTCCATTAGTTCCCGTGATTAAGATACTATCATTTTCCAATGTGGCGGAATAGGTGTTTTGATCAGGTTGGCTCTCATCAACTTTAGTAATTAGACTTAATTTACTTGGACCTCCAATGACTTTATTAACTTCATCTTGAGCAATAATTAAATGCGTAACCAAAATCGCTTTACATAATTGTGAATTTTCTCGATTCATTTCAACTAATTTAATAGCAATTCTCAAATCCTTCTGGATCAATTTCCGTCTTTGTTCCCAAGTCCTAATCCTCTTCCCCTCTGGTGAATCTTGTGGCGAAGTCAAAACAGTCAAATACAAAGTCGCAATCTCATTATATATAAACGCAGCATCCGCTCTCATATTCAATCTCTCAAACATCTCAGCAATCTTCAATTGAATACCAGTATATTCATCCGATAACCTATCCATCTTAAGTTCATTACAATGTTCCAAAGCTTCTAAATAAAACTTCAATGCTAATTGATAATCATTCTCACCTTTATCACTTTCGGCCCAAAGTCCTTTTCGTAATATTTTGGCAACTGAACTGGGGAATGTATGTTTTGGCCACCATATATAATAAGCAGCTCCCCCGAAGGCTGCGAATACTGCGGCTGTGTATAAGAACAGGCGAAAGAATGATCTGGTTGGAGGCGGTTGTGGAGGTTGATATTGATAGTAATTGCCCAGAGTTGAATATCTTTTGGTCAGCAGTAATGTTCTGGTGTAAGAAGCTCGGGTTCTTGATATTACACGGTTACAAGACCGTGTCAAGAGTCTAGTATGCATATTTATAGTTCAATTGGTACGGAACTGGAAGATTGACTAGGCGAATCTGAAATGGAACATTCTTTTTTGGCAACGATCTTTGATTGATCAGAAAGAGTCGTGTGAATGGATAAATTTTACGTAAAACCACGCTACCAACCGCTTCTATTCACGTGATCAATATTAATCTCTTTTTGGAGTGCTCCGAAGAAAATGAAAAAATTCAAACAATAAATAACAAACGTTCAGATTTTTAGTGAATCCATCAACTCATCTTTTACTAATCTAACCTTATTGGTGAACTTTGTACCGCTAGAATATCTACCAAATAGCGGACCACTTTTTTCTGATTCCTTTTGTGTTTTTTTGGCATTTTCAGAGAATTTGATTTTTGGCAACAATTAAAACATGAACAACAATCCAAATATGTCAAATCAAGGTATGGGCAGCAGTAGTAATGATCATCTGAATACTCCCAACATGAACAACTCAAACATCAACCAACAGATGCAAAACCGACAACAAGGTCAACAGCAAGCAGGTGGAGGTACGGGTAGACCAATGAATATCAATCCAAATCAATTGGCTCAGTTAGTTCAAGCAATGAAGAATGAAGTGGCATTAGCAAAGAATGCGACTAATGAGACTGAAAGACAAGAGCACTTCCGTAGGGCAGAAGGTATAAGGAAGATATTGGTGAATTATCTGGCACAGAAGAACCGATTACAACAACAGCAGCAGCAACAGCAGCAACAACAACAAAGAAACCAACAACAACAACAACAGCAGCAACAGGCACTTCAACAGCAATCACAACAACAACAACAACCGCAGATGCAGAATGCATTGAATGATCCGCTGCATCAAGAACAAATTCAAGCAGTTCAAGCTCAAGCTCAAGCACTTGCTGCTGCACAAAGCAGACAAATGCCAAACAACTCATATTTACAACAACAGCTGCAGCCGTCTCCTCATATCCCAATGAATATGCAAGGTAGTAGACAAACATCGAATCAATCAACACCATTGATGGGTCAGTCGCCCAATCCTTCACTCAGGCAATCTCCATTAATGCAACAGAAACAAGCACCAGGAAGTTCAGGGCAGCAAGGGCAACAACCAGTGAGACAATCACCTTTGGTTCCGCGGCAGTCACCACCTATGGGAAATCAACAAATTCCCCAAAATAGAAACGTGGGTAACTTTGCTGGAGCTAGTGGAACAGGTGCAGGTGGTGGCGGTGGAGGTGGACAATCCATGCCAAACATCAGTCCCAGTAATATTAATATGGAGAGATTTAATCAAGTTAGACAAAGAATGACAGAGGTGCAGAGAAGGATCCAACTTTTGGAACAGGGTAAAAAAGGGAATGTTACTCCTGATCAACTAAATATTATTGAAAAAGAATTGATTGAACATAAAAATAAATATCAACAATTTCAGAAAGTTGCAATTTTTATTAGAAATCAATTGGTGTCACAAGCAAAGAGTCAACAACAACAGCAACAAGTCGCCGGAGCGGTACCTGGGGTGGGTACAGCATCTGCAACTTCCTCTCCACAGATTGAACAAAGGTTCCCACCTCAAATGCAACAAGGTCAACAGCAACAGAACCAACAGCAACAACGGCTTACCAATCAGCAAAGGGCCCAAATGATGGCTGCACAAGCACAAGCACAATCACAGGCATCAACGCCTCTTCCAATGAGACACACTCCCCAAATGCCATCGAAACCTCTAGTTCAACAACAACAACAACAACAGCAACAACAAATGTCGCAGGCTTCTACTCCATTTCAACAACCTCCGATGCCCATGCCTCCTCAACAACAACAACAGCAAGCTCAACAATCGATACCTCAACAAAGAATTCCAAGCAGACATGCGACAGCCACGCCACAAACACAACATCAACCGCCACCACCTTCAATAATCCAACCTCCACAACCACAACCAACTGAACCGATTCAAGCCAATAATGCACCAGCTGTTTCGGCCCCAGTTCCGACACAAAGAGGATCCGGACCAACCACATCCAAAACAACTCCAGCAGCAGCAGCACCTCCTTCTGCAGCATCCTCTACCCGTCCAGTGTCGGCCGCAGGTTCAGCCACTGCCGCGCGCAAATCAGTTTCTCCCGCCGCATCAGAAACCAAATCCCAACAATCGCCACTGAAACCAAGATCGAGATCTGTGACATTGCAACCCGGTGGATTGAATCTTCAAGGTATAACCAAACCCAGTGTCCCCTCCATACCAATTTCCAGTAGTCTAGATGTAAAACCACCGACCATAATAACTTTCAATTCCAATGCGGATACTCGACCATCATTGACTGGAGGTGCGGCGAATTCGTTGAGTATTTTATTGGATACTCCTGCCATTACAAAATTACCCATGTTTGATTTGGCAAGTGGTGGTAGTCTGGCCAGTGTATTAGAGAGTGGTGGTGGAAGGGCATTGAATAAACGAAAACTAGCTGATTTGATAAGTACGACCGGAGTGGATGAAGGTGATGGTAGGACAAGTATTGATGGAAATGTTGAGGAATTGTTATTGGATTTGGCGGATGAGTTTATTTATTCGGTGACGGGGTTTGCTTGTAGGTTGGCGAAACATAGAAAGGTGGATAGTATTGAGGCGAAGGATGTACAGTTGCATTTGGAACGGAATTGGAATATAAAGATTCCTGGATATGCTATGGATGAGATTAGGAGTACGAGGAAGTTGCAGCCTAATTCGAGTTATAATCAAAAGGTCCAGGGTGTGGAGATATCGAAGGCGGTGAATGAGGATATACATACTTTGTAAGAAAGGTTTAAATATATTTGTAATCTATATCATAATAGTTTAGTTTTATTAGAAATGAAATGAAATAATTAACTATTTAAATATAAAACGTATGAAGTTGTGTCTATTTATCTTGTTCGTATTTTTCTTTCATCAATTTTCGTATATTTTTAGCCCAATTCTTATGTTCTTTATCATATATCCCTTCTTCCACTCCTTTTAAGAATCCTTGTTTATCTTCCAATAGTTGCCAAGGTGATTTTCTCGCCGTATCATCTTTAATCAAACAAGAATCAATAAATTCACAAAGCTGCCTGTCATAAGGTGCTTTAGTCACAGGATTAATCTTTCCAGTCAATGAAGGAGCTTTCTCATTTACAATTCGTTGTAATAGATCTAAAATCCCTTCTGGACCTTTGAATCGGTTTTCCCCTTTTTCATCATTATCTTCATTCTCATCATCATCGTCAGTCCATACGGGTATACCACTTGCCAATTCAATCAACATCAATCCCATAGACCATACATCCGACTTCACCCCATAATTCAACCCTTGAATTCTTTCTGGAGACATATATGTCGAAGTTCCAACAAATGTATCTGCCATCGCCAAAGAATTAGTTAATTCTCGTGAAACACCAAAATCGCATAATTTGAATTCTCCTTTATGTGTCATCAAAACATTATTTGGTTTTATATCCCGATGCAAGATTTTATGAGTTGTATATAAATAAGTTAATCCTGATAAGATTGAAAATGCTAATTTTTTCAAGACAAATAATGGAAATTGTTTATTTGGGGATAGGGATAATATTTTATCTAATGATCCACAATTACAATATTCCATACAGATCACAATTGTATTATTTGAATTTAAAAAAGCTCCATAAAAATCGATAATATAAGGAGAATGACATTCATGTAATATACGTAATTCTCTTATAATTTGACGTTGGATAACACTTTTCAGATCAATATGAATGATTTTTTTGGCCATTGTTTTTTGAGTTGGGATATGAAGGATTTTTGATACTGTGCCTGAATTACCTGAACCTAATGTCTTTAATGTTAACAAATCTTCATTGTTTAGAGTGAATGCACTGGTTGTAGCTAAAGAAGTTGAATAATTGGGTTCAAATCCTTGCGTTGCTTTATTCTGAGTTGGAGATGAAGAATTCGATTTTGTTGGAGATATTGATGAGATGACAGTTTGACGTTTTCTTGTTATTGTTGTTGGTTGTTGTAGTTGTTGTGGTTTATTGCCTTGTAAGTTATTAAGTTCTAAATTTGATATTTGATTTATTATTACATCAGTAGAATTCTCTTGATCTGGATCAATATTTCTATTACTTGCATTAACATTAAAGTTTGAATTTGAAGGCGTTTGACGATTTATAGTTTGACTTATTACAATACCTGCAGAAGGTGATGGTTTATTATCAGAATATGAACTCAGCAGCAAAGGAGACCCCAGACTGGGTGGTGGATGTTGTAGATTTAATATAGGAGCTGGTCTATGTCGTCTTTCACGTAACGAAGTGGGCACTTCTCTAAGTATGGCAACATCATCATTCCAATCCTTGTTGCCCGACGTTGGCTTAGGCGGGGAAGCGGTGAGGGACAATTTTTTGAAGTTCTTTCGTCTTAGTGTTTTAGCTTGTAATAGTTCAGAGTCTGTTGTGGATGTGGATGATGACTGGATTTTGGATAATGGAGATGGGACTGGAGGTAGTTGTTTATCTTTTGGGGAATGCAACTGGCCTGGCGTGATGTAATTCTGAGACATAATCTTTGGATAGTAGGAGTACCTGTATATATATATAGGTATGTCTTAGTTAGAAAACGTGTAGCTAATGTGGTATAGAAGTCAGTTAGATGAGTTGATCTGATATCTTAATTAAACGAAAGAATGTGAAGAATGTGTAATAAAGTTAATTAAATAAATAAATTTAAGGATCCAATGGGAATCGCCTTATGAATATTTTTACACGAGCACAATTTAATTTTAGTGTTTTTTTTTTCTTTGCTGGTAAAATAGGTTTAATAAATTGACTCTCCCTGTCATTTAAGCTTTTTATTGACAGTATACAAACCAGAAGAAGATTCAGGGGATCAGATAATAAAAGATAATTAATTACTCCCTATACAACCGGGTAGTAATGTCCGTTCTAATTTTAATCTTTGAATCTCCTACAAATTGAGAGGAAGTGGGAAAATCTTTTGGTGCGAGTCTACTGTGATGTGTATCTGGGAAATACATGTAACATTAGTGGTTGATCCTAAGTCGATAGTAAATGCATCATTACCCATCACCTCAAAAAAGATCTGCGATGCTCCATTAGACTAACCACGTTAGCCTATTGTGAGAAAATATGCGTGGAATTGATATATGCATTGATATGTGACTCCTCTCCTCCCTCGCTTGGCCTCTGGAATAAGAAATATCGCCAAGGTTTTTCCACAAGCTTCTACAACTCTAAGACTTTGCATATTACACGTTGATTATTAATTAACACCTAGCTTATCTTATTAAAGTATTGTTTAGCAATGCATATTAGAGGTATATTGGAAAGTTTCAATGAGTGAATACGGCCATTCTACTCCAACAAAATGGGTTACATATTCACTTCGTTACATAATTTGCATATGTCTACACGAAATAAATAATAGAAGACTCTTTGCGAGAAAGTAGTCCAAGATTCTTAATTCTTCCATGTTAGTGCGTGTATGGTAGATCTTCCAAGCAATTTGTCGGGTTTAACCAATCTATAAATGAAAAATCATAAGCATCTCTTCTTCTCCACCCTTCCCGTTCCTCTCCTTAAACGAAGTGCACTTCTTACATGTATTGATCTGGAATGAGATCGAAATCAAATATTCTCTGATTGAAATGCAGCGCCATTGCCGCTACTCCCAATGTGCTACCATATGTGGTATGTAGTGAGATTGGGCGGATGGCGGTCCACTACAAGTGGTAGGCAATTTCGGTTGAATTACACTGGAGGACATACAAAATAGATTCCAACTACTGAAGAAATTGAAGAGGAAAAGCTCTCGAAGAAAAAGCTCGAATTCCAGAACCAGAAGAACACAAGCTTTCCCATCCCACGATTGTTCTAGTTCATCCCCTGGCCACAGCTCGTGCTTCATACATTATGTGAAGGTGTTCACGAAAGAAGAAGAGAACGAAGAAGAGAACAAAGAAACAATGCAGAGGACAATGCAGAGGACGAAGACGAAGATGAAGACAAATAATGGAAAAACCCAAAGGTGTCCCAGGATCCTGGCTTACTGCTTTAGCAAACCTAACTGCTGTTCCGAAACAAATACTGAAAGAGATTCAGAAGTATTACAATATTTAAGAGATATTGTCTAGGAGCTTGAGGATAGCTTCACGTCTTTTCTAGAGGTGCATGTGGCTTCTCGACCGTCTGAGCCCTTCGCAACGGCTGCATGTGGGACTGCTTGCGCGTAACCTCGGACGATGCTAGCTAGATAAGCTTTGTAGTATATGTAGTTTCCTGCCAGTGGCGACAACTATTACACAAAATCTACAAAAATAGAGAAACAATTCCGCCATGATACACCTTCCTGCCAGTGGCTTCAACGATTACACGAATTCTATAAATGGAGATACAATTCCTCCGTGATAGGCGTCCACAACTTAGATATAATCGGACAGTAATATCCCTCTTGAGTCCACCACCTCGGCAGAAATAGGGAATCCGCGATGTAGTGGGTCAAAAGGGGCCCCCTTGTACGTGATCTTTTGTTAAACATTTGCTGCAAGTGAAAATCCTAATCGAGCGATTTCTTCGATTAGCATGGATGTAATATTTACCAAATCAACATGTGGCAAATACTTCTAAGGAAATGAGAAAACATTTGGGCCGATACACGATGTTGAAACCCAGTGCATCTTTTACCAACCCAGCACAGACTTAGAAGTTCTGAATTATTGTAAAACTAGCTTTATATCATCTAATTGGCCAAGCCAACACCAAAAGGAAATGTGTAATTTGGTCAAGTTCTAACAACATGATTTGCAACCTTTTGTAGACTGGAGATTCTGGGCATTGTTCCACTTTGGATTGCATACTTCCTATTGTTAACTACTCTCTTTTCGCTGAGAAATGAACAAAGACGGTTTCGAGTAGAATGCCCAGTGTGATTCTTGATATCTAAAAGTATGGATACGAAGCGCTATTCAATTCGAATCGAGATTCTTTACGAGGATTATTATTCGATTCGAAAATGCATGGAGTCCCACGTCACCGGTGTGGGGCTTCGTTTAATCATTCATTTCAAATTCAACACTCAAACAAAGCAATTTACGGCTAATGAACTCCTACTATTGCTAATTATTATTTAATGAATGACTAAAATTTTGTGGAGAATCACAAAACCATTACATTTCCGTAATTTTCTTTATTTAAAAGCAATTACAAAAAAATAATTCACGAAAAATATTCAATATAAATATTTTTTACTATCTAACCTTCTATTATTTTTTTAGATTATTCCGTTTCGAAAAATCTGCAACATGACGCCCTAAATTATCCATAGAAATCTAATAAACTTCTCAACTATAGCCGAGAGATGCCCGAAATCACTGCAAGTGCTGCAAACGTTCACAGAAAAAAAATTATAGTCGCGTTTTGACATTAGCGAGTGGCGCATAATACGCCTAAAGTTACCTCTTTTCACTGTGATTACGAAACTTAGATCTAAACTATAAACTACTTATATTCAGATTTGAAATATATACCTATTCTAAAAAAGAGTCTAAACTATAACTTATACACTGAAATCCAGTCAGCTTGTCTTCTATTCTGTTAAAAAAATCTAATGTTGGGAATTGTTGGGTGCAAATTGATTCAATGAATCAGGTAGACCTTGTGATTGTTGATATTGTGCTGTGGCAAGTTGAGGCTGTTGAGTCGCATACATTGTTTGAGTCAAGGCAGGAAGATGCAGATGCGGTTGCAAATTGCCAGGGTATGTTTGAACTGGTGGGTATGGTTGGCTGGGGAAATGAGTTGGATATCCAGGATTATATTGAGATGGGACAAGAAATACATCAGGTCCTGGTGCTGGTCCCGTGTATATCATATTTGAATTGTCATAAGCAATATATCCATTTGGTACTGAGCTCATGAAAGTGGTAGAGATATTGCTAACAATTGGAGTAGAAGTAGGAATTTTTTTTAATCCAGAACCAGATAATTTTCTTTTACGACTTCTACATCTAGCACATACTTTATGTTTTCCAGCATCAAATGGATCCAAAGGTTTAGCACACCGGTTGCAATTACCCATCTTTTCCAAATTTGTTCGTCTAATCTTATCATTTGCCCTACATCGTTGACATACTTTAAAGCCTGTAGTTTTCCCGGACTCTTTCTTGGCATCATCAGCAATTAAAGATTGCCCAGCATTATCAATTGCAAGGGTCCCATCCTCGCTAGTCATAATCGGAGCATTCAATGGTCCTGAGCAATGTACACATTTTCCTTGGGCTGCTCTGCTTGCTTTTCTTGAACGTAAATTTTGTCGACAATTTGGACATAATACAAAATTTTGATCTTCAGGCGCAATCGGGGATCCACAACGACGACACACTCCTTTCCTATCTTTAGTCTTCTTCTGCCACCGCCTTGACCTTTGTCTTTGTAAATCACGACAATGTTGACATAATTTAAAAACCTTAGGTTCAACAAAATATTGTTGCCCATCGTCTGCAGTTTGAGGCTTGGGAATTAATACGGTCTGTTCAAATTCTTTCTTACATCTGGAACAATTTGAATAAACTACTTCATGGTCTTCCATAGTAGGAGACCCTTGTGGCATCAGTCCATTCATAGGGGATGACCCTTGGTGATTGCTGTTGTTTTGGTTTTGGTTCTCCTGTTTCAAAAATTCATTAGTAGATGCCATCTGTTGTTGAAGATGAAGTGGAGGGATAGGTGCCAATAGTCCCAGTCCCCCGCTGTTGTTACTATAACTCAAGCTTGATACCTGAGTTTCATCTAGTCTCAGTTCAAAGGGGTATACATGTCTAGATTCCCCTTGTTGATTTAATTGTTGGTAGTAGCTCGATGGGGGTAGTAGTACATTCAGACTAGAGTATGGTGGTGGTGCGTTACTGGGTAACGGTGGGAACAGTGGTGACACTTGATGAAACTGCAGTTGAAGGGTTGGCTGTCGGTGGGTTAGATGTGGTGGCTGTTGTTGAAACTTATTCTCTGAATTGCTTTGAGAAGAGGAATTTAAATGTCCATTCAAATCATATTGTAAATTCGCATGCGAACTTGTTGGTTGTTGTCCAAACATTAAAATTGGTAATGGTAAATTGGATTGAGGAATAGAAGGTGGTTGGGTCAGAGATGAATCATCTCTGCCTTCGCTCAGTTGACTAAGTTGATTCTTGTCTTCCGACTGGTCCAATTGTCCTTGATCATTTTTTTGTTGCTTCTCTGAATATTGTGATTGTTGTTGTGGTGGTTGTGGCTGTTGTTGCAAATATGAATCTAACGGTGCTTCTAAGGCACCATCCATATAGCCCTGTTCTCCTGTCATTCAAATGGATTGGATGTTATGATAAATATGGTTGTATGAAGTAATTTGAAACAATAAATAGTATACCGTAGGTACTAGTCTGACAATAAATGGTATAAAGTCTTACTAACTAACTGAAGTTAAACTATATAAAGTAATGTTACAATTAGCTATTGTCTCTTTGTTAGTATAGGAAGGTCCTACTCTAAGATTATAACAATGTTGATCAGAATTGATTGCCTGCCCGTAATTATTCTTTGGCTGGTTTAAAAAGGTGAAGGATTCTTGTCAACCCTGTGCTTTGAAAGCTGAAAAATTCAACTGTTGATTAGTTGTTTATAAAGGTTGCAAAGATTTTTACTTGTTTGGACTTGGTAGTTGTTAATTTTGAAAGGGTAGTTGCTTGTGTTGATTGAACCAGTGAAATATCGTATTGGAGAGAGAAAAACTTAAAAGGATTAAGGTCTTTTAAAAGCAATATTTCTTGAAAAACTGTGTCCTTAAATATTGTTTATTTTTAAGGTATTCCTTGGATTGTTTAATTTTTATTTCCACAAGGTTTGCAAATATTTTTTATGCAACTTGTTAAAAAATAATCGAAATTTAAAAAATAATTCTTTAGATTTTAAATAAGTCTAATTTCTGCAAAAAGTTTAATTCTATTCATATTTTTTTTGGAGTTTTTGTAAGGGGAAGAATTGTAACATCTTCTGAACCGGTAGCAAATGTCACCCATTCATCCAACATAATTATTGAATCTATGACCTCTCGTTTCCCTAGATAGGCAAAGTTTTCAAATATGCCTGATGCAAGATTTCCAGTTTCCTTTTTTCTTTTTGTTGCTTGGAATTATTAATTTCGGAAAAAGCCGATTGTCAAAAATTTTTTTGGGGTGACTTATAAACAAGAGGGGTGATAAAGAAAATTATTTATTTTTCTTTTGAGTTATAGTTAAACCATGGCTAAAACAAAAAATAACTCGGTGCTAGGTAATCAAAAAATCCTTCCCGATACGCAAGCACAAAAAGCTAGGGAGATATTGAAGGGAGCAAGGCTATGCCAAAAAAGGATTCTTTTCATGGAAATGATCACCAGGTGTTTTGCAACCATGAGCCAGTATTTTTAATCCAGGCAGAGATCATAGTACATAGTTAGCTCTTTCGCAAGATTCTAGAAGCCAATCATCGGCGAGAAGACTAATTCTCCGTTATCTAATGACTTGCTAAGATAAAAATGGTTATGATATTTTCTCTGTTCTAAAAAGAACAATTGCCAATTTGACAAGCGTCCATAACTATGACATTTTAGTTTCGGCTGCGGCTATTTTGGGTGCAAAAAAACTGACTTGAAAAGAAAAATAGAAGTCCTATGATCATCACATGCAACGGGATAAATAATACTACTAGGTCCTTGTAAATTATTGCTACTAACAGTCTTCTTATAGGATTGATTCTTTATATCTATGTTTTGGTTTGGCCTGGATTTGTAATGTGCCATATTGGAACTGGTTAGGAGCACAGGTTCAATGTCGTGTCTCAAAAGATATTCTTATTTTATTGTACAAAAAATAATTGCGCCAAACGTTCGTAACCCAAAAAATATCTCGGCTTTAAATTTCGATTAAACTTTTGATTCTGATGAAAAAACCATGCTACATTTTCAGTACTTAAATGACTTCTAATAAAAACGATCAAACGTTTTGGGTTCGCTCCTATCCCTTTTCTTTGGCTATGAGCTTCAGAGAATTTCTGACAATTGTAGAACGGCTCTATAGTAGTATTCTATTTTTTTTCTGTAAAATTTGGCGGTAAAAAATATTTGCACACCAAAAATATTTTTCCACCAAAAAAGATTTACAAAAGCGCAAAATGACTTGCACCCAAAGGGCAAATTACCAGAAAAATGCTGTAAAAAAATGCTCCACTGCAGATATACTTCTCACAAACCTTACACAAGGGCGTCATGCATTGGTAAACATAAACTATAAGGTTGTAAAGATATGATTGATGGAACTCAATATCAATCTTCTATAAAAACAATGTCACAAACCATTACATACCAAGGAAAAGAAATCCTTTAAACTTTTAAACTTTTTAAAAAGTTTAATTTCTCCAAAAAAGTCTTTAGCGAAAATAGCCAATATGTGCCATAGGCAGTCGTACTTTGAGCCCTGGAGATAGCGAAGTATCTTGAGTTATCCGGATCCGACTCAATAAAACATGACCGAATTAGGTCAGACAATTGCTGGTCTGAGGTACTCATTCTTTGGGCCGTTCAATCTGTGAAATTTCTTCGGCATTCGCCCTCACATCGTGGAGAAGTAATCTGTAATCTAAAATCGAAACGAAGGTTTAAAGTTTCCATAACTAAATATTTCCTTTCTAGACGTCGGTAAGTTTCTTGGGGGGCGATTTAGAGAAGAGCGGCCAAGGAAATTCTGTTGCGTGATGGTTTTGATATTTTGGTATGATCAGCATTCTCAAAAAAGAGATTCATTGACTCAAAATGGCTCTGGTGTACTATATCTCATCGTAGTCTGGGCCTGCCTTCTATTCTATTGCCCCATCGTTCGATTTCGATCGAATGAGCCCTGGTGCCAAGGACGACAAACACATTTGGTTTATCCCTTATTCTCATACGCCTCAAAACTGGAGAAACAACTCCTATTTCGAAGATAAATTTCCGTACAGTTTTGGCCTCATGTTGTGGTTATCATATTGTCCTTTAGTGGGTCATCCGAACTAGGTAAATAAAACTCCAGAAAAGGTAATCTAACATGTTGGCAGACATCGCTCCAAAATATCCAGGTATCCAAACGCTGGCTTACTCCAATTTATTGATAAGAAAACTGGTGATTCTATCCATCTGGTCGGCTACCGGAACGTGGATGTACAAATACGATTTTGTTGGGATTAGGATGGTTCCCAAAGAAGGAAAATGGGTCTCACAAAATTCCCACATTCTGACTTTGAGTTTCCGGTAGTAGCGAATTTTCCTCAATTTCAATTTTTTGATGAAATTCAAACCCTGCTAGCATTAGTTTCTAAATACCATTACCTATGTCTACCATAGGCATATAACAGTACCCCTTGGGTTACAGATGTCTTCGACGACGGATTTTGAAGGATGTTAGCCAGTGCACCACGGTTAAGATGGCATAAAATGAGGGCGTATTGGACTAGTCTGGAAGAAAGCTGACCAATTTCGCAAGAAACCATCTGTCAACCTAAAACCACCTAACCCCTATGGACGAAGTATATGGGCTCACCCATGTGGGTCCTTGTCATCATCTCGTATAGGATATGGTCCCTGAGTGTGGTTTGTGATCTTGGTTAACGAAGTAGATAGGTTGAATTGACAACCATGAGAGTTAGATGGGACTGGCTAACTTCCCAATGCTTCAATAGTAATACGTTCTTTGTATTATAAACATAAATACTGTTCTAAATCACATTATTTGCAGCACAAAAGGCATTTAGGCGCAGATGATACCGAGTACCACAGAGATGCTTCCGTGCACTTACACTTAGGCTTGGAAACAGCGACACTGATTAAGAGCTCAGAGTTAGTAGGAACAAATTGAGTGGCTCCACGTAGTAGACCTCATTTACCTACGCTTACCGAGGATAAAACTTTTCTCCTGCTGTATATTATATGTACTTATGGAGAGCGAGGTCGTAAACCTAAATATATACAATGTCTACAATAAATAGGTAAACATAGGAAAACCCCTTCATGCCTTCTATATACAAGTATTTGTCTATGATAGCTACTTTTCTTCAAAAGATATTCGATCCCGTTCATTCCAACCTATCATGTAATAACATCTGAATAACCTCTCCAGCACGATATGCACCCAACCCAAACAATACTATCCCTGACCCTCTAACCGACCTTTGCCACCACAAGGGATTTTTCTTAAGATCAATCTTTCCTGTTACCTTATCTTTGAATTGATTAGGAGAACTAAACCAAAATCCACCAATGAGAGCAGCTATTGATTGGACTGCTGTGCAGGGTATACATTTTTTGCCTATTTCATCTGATGATAGATCTCGCGATGGAGGAGGATTGAAGACTGATAATATATTCGACATGTTAGTGTGATATGAATTGATCTAATGGGAGGGAACCGTTTGTTCTTGATCATGATGATGATCCTGAGGGGCAAAGAAAAAAAACATAGAGATTGATGAGAAATGAAATTTTACTATGGAAAAAGTCATGTGACGAGATTTTTCTTCGAATCTAACTTTCATTTCTATTTGTTCAAGAGGATGATAGACTAGCTAATATCCAGTCTCTTCTTTCATTGCCTGTTCCTTGCGTGTTTTGTATAGAGTTTCAAGTGGTAGAGTTCCGTATCCTCTGAAAATGCAGGTTTGAACAAAACAATACAATCTTTTGTAAGTTCCTAGTGATCCTGAAGAGAAGGATAAAGTTTATAAGATCATAATATATTAAGTATTAAACGTAAAAGGTATCAAAAACAACCAAAAAAAACTCTATATAACTGTACAAGATAATAATAATACAAATGCTGCCAACTAAACCTTATTAGCTGAATCCCCAGTAATCTCCACTACTTCCTTCTCATTACTAGCAGCAGCAGCTTCAGCAGCAGCTTTTTCTTCAGCTAACTTTTTAAAATAAGCAGCGTATCCATATCTACTTCTAGCTCTCAATCTAGGACCAAAATATCCAAACACAAATGGAACAGGTACCATAGCCAAGGCAATAAATGCAAACAAACTAGACGCCCAATCAACTCCCAAATTTTCAAAACATTGAACAGTGAATAATGGGAACACACTAGCCAATAAATATCTCAACAAGTTATTTGCAGCAATGGCCAGGGCAACATTAATTGGAGGAAACGACATGGAGAAATAAAGAACGACAGAAAGGAAGATGAGAATAAGACCGAATCCAAATGGTGCTCCTGAAACTAATGGGGCCCAATAACTGACTGATGCCTTGGAAGACCAACCTAACCAGAATAAAGAAATTGGAAGGAAGACGGAACCAATTTTTCCCACTAATAATTTGGTTTCTGGAGCATCCCAGATGAAATTCCCATTTTCGTCTCTCTTACCACGGGTTCCATCGGGGTTTTTGCGGAAATAGATGGTTTTATCCAAGATGACATAAAGAATAACAGCGGCGATTTCTCCAACCATGACGGATAAGAAAGGTAATCCTGACACACCTAAACCCATTCCATAAATGCCTCTGAAGATAATTGGGAATGCTTCGAAGAATGCAAAAAGCACAGCGAAAATGAATGAAATATAAAGTGACATGAAGAATACAATTGGATCTCTGAATAATAATTCAACTGGCCTTAATAAATCAAAGAAAATGATTCTCTTGATGAATGCGGAGTTAACTTTTGGTGCATTAACATTAAGACCCCTTTTAATTGCTCTATTCTTAAGAATGATTGGTTTATAGGTCTCAGGAGAAAAGATAACAAATGGCCAAATTGCCCCAAAGAACATAAGCAAGACCCAAGAAGCCGACCATTTCCAATCCTTATGTTCAGCTGCGAAACCACCAATAATTGGACCCAATACAGGACCAAGGAATGGACATAAGCAGAAGATCGCCACAGCAAACGATTGTTCCAGAGGTTCTTTGGACCAAATATCACTAATTGTCCCACCGGCGATAGCTAATGCTGGACTGGCAAAGAATCCACAAAAGATTCTTAAAACCAAAATAGTATGAATGTTTTGGGCAAGACCAACACCCATAGTGAATAACATAGCAACTGGAAGGGAAAGGATATAGATCCATCTTCTACCAAACACTTCAGATAATGGAGCAGTAACAGCGGGACCAAAGGCAAGGCCAAGCACGTAGAAAGTCACTCCTGAAATGGTTAATTCTTGAGAAGATCCAAAACTCATCATGAGATCTGGTACACTACCGACAAACATGGATGAACCTAATGAGGAACAAAGACATAACATCGCAACTGTATAAGTTACCATCCATTTTTTCCAACTTGGCCAATTGTGAGGGTTTGCAATGTCATCAGGTCCATCAAAATCTAATTCTTTGACTTCCCATACTTTTTCCTCGGTGGGGATTGATTTGTGTTCGGATGGGGCATATTCTTGGGAGATTTCTTCATGGGCCATTTCAGCAATTGATTTTCTGGATGAGATTCTTTCAAGGGTGAATTTTCTATTAAGCTCATTTTCATCCATGTCGGGGGAATAAGTTTCATCCATGCCGGGGGAATAAGTTTCCACACCATTGGAACGATCAGACATATGTGAGGATGATTCTTTGGTTGATTGGTCATTGTCAACGATAATTTCTGGAACTGGAAGTTCTTTATCGCTTAATTCTTCTTGCGATTGTTCAATTGGTGGTTCTGGGGGGGCAACTGGTTGTAGTTCAACGGTAATTATAGATTCAGCTAATGATACTTGTTCGTCAGTTGCAATTTGATTAATAGTTCTATCAGTTTCATCTTCATCATCATAGATTTGAGTTTCTCTTGCACTCAGTAATGCACTTTGGTAAGCTTGCAGATCAGTTGTGGATTGATCTTCATACTCACTCATCTGTTCATCAGCTGTAACATAAGCGGATGAGCTATTACTGGAAATGAAGGATTGCCTTGGGGAACGACCATCATCATCTGCAATATATGCTTGTCTGAGCTGATCTTCTTCAGCCTTTGAAGTACCAAAAATACCCATATTTATGTAGTAATGATGATATCTATAAAGCTAAGGGATAGAAAAGGGGAAATGTGATCAGTTGGATTAAGCTTCTTGAAAGAAAGTTTATAAAATGAAAAATTGACATGGCAAAAATTGTGGAATTTTATTGCAATTTAAATAAAAAAAATATTTTCTAATCTTCGCGGAAAAATTAACCAATCCCGGAATTAAGCTAACAAATTGTTTAAAGCCGTTAATTATTCCGTAATAATTACACAAAATTGACACCGGAATTAACCAGATTTCTGCAAATTAATAGAGATGCTTTTGAACAGCACATACAAGGAAGGAGTCACAAAATGGCTAGCACGGCACTATCAAAGTCAAACAGTTCAAACACCACGTTTACGATGTCGCATTAAGTTGGGGTTAGCAAACAGCATTATTCGGGCGCAGAACTATGTACCTAGCTCATTAGATTCGTAATTTTATCTCTGCAGATCTATCTTATCTCAATAAAAGTCAAGCTTTCAGGCATCATCAGAAGTTGATAAAGTTCTCCACAATACTAGCACTCTCCCCTTTTGCGACCGTGCANTAAAAGTCAAGCTTTCAGGCATCATCAGAAGTTGATAAAGTTCTCCACAATACTAGCACTCTCCCCTTTTGCGACCGTGCATTTTCACATGATGATTCATCAGAGTTGCTAATTTCAATTGAGTTTAGCCGTCCTTTGATAAATTTGCCAAATTTTTTTTTTCTTTTAAACGGTATCGATTAAATTATACACTAAAATATTATGAACTATAATATATAAAGACGGTTTTCTTTTGGTTGGTAACTCCGCTTAATTCCATTTTGATTTATTTTTAGGTCAGAATTTTTGGTTAAATTTTTTATCGTAAATTATTTTTTTTTTTTGGCTGCAATTTTCTTGAATTAATTATAGCCTACCACCAACATTTTAATTACCACTTTTTCTCCCTAACTTCAGTACCTTAGTCAGCAGCTCGTGGGAAGGGGGTACGAGAGTGATAAGATACAGAGAAAATTTCATTTTGTTTCTTTTGCAAACAATCAGAAAACTGAAGAATTGCTAAATGAATATGATCGGCGTTTTGTTTACGCTAACAAATAGAGGGGAAGAGTTGGTGGTTGAGATCCAGTTGACTCCATAATTCCGAAGTACCCTTGATTCCATACGTTTGTATTGGGGACTGTGACATAAATCCACATTACTTGATTCATTTGAAATTGTGTGACCAAACAATATTTCATCACTTCCGGTAAAGTGTACCAAATGTAAGTATTATTAAAACTCTACTTATCTCTATACAATAAAGTAAAACTAAACCAATAAAACGTGCACTAATCAATAATCATATCATCATCCAGATGTGGTTTCTTCTCTTGTCCTGTCCACCCATAATAACTCTTTGCCCGAATATATCCAAAAGAAAAATTACACGCAAACACCGTCACCACAAACATTAAGACAAACATGAAAAACTTCCAACCCAAAGGTTCAATCAACGAATTAACCAAAACCCCAATAGTCTCCGCACTTATCTTCGCCATATTGCCGCCTCCATTGAATGGATCCTGTTGCATACATCTTTCGAAATATGCACATTTCGTTTCTAATAATGGAACAATTGTATCTGGATGACATTTATTTTCGTGATAGGCTCGACGACAGGTTTCGATGGAGGTGAGGATGTGAGTGGATTGTTGGGCTAGTTTGTAGGATATATCGTGTTTAATTGAGGATATTATTCCGGAGATTAAGTAAAATGAATATAGGGTTGCTGTGAAGTTGATAAAGATTTGGAGATATGACGATAGGACATAAGGAACTTTTTCCAGGGGAGTTATATTTGATTTCCACGGGACTGGAAGGATTAGCTTTTGGGGTGACTTTTTGCCTTGATATGGATGTTGATATTTCTCTAGTTGTTGTTCTTTTTGAGTAGGGACAATATCTTGCAGGTTCAGGGAAGTATCATTTAGTTTTATACTATCACTAGAGCCATTCCCATAATAATGATGATGATGATGAATAGTGACAGGAGCATTCTGTAACCCAAAAGATTTCCTCATCATATATGACAGATTCATGTTATTCGCATAAAATCTCCCGTTCCCCCCATACATCTGGTCATATTGTTGTTCTTTGGGAACTTGCTGACCCTCTCGAGCCAAGAATGAGTTAATATCAGACACGGGAGAGAACAGACTCATATTTCTATCATTTCTCCATCTATTTCTCATCTCGTTATCTTGATTGGGTTTTATTGGTTTGTATAAACTTGTATCATATTCGTGATCTATATGGTCAGCTGGTGGTGTCGATTTATTGGTCAGTGGAGGTGGCATTAGAAGTAATCGAGGTCGATTTATTGCAAGCTTGGCACCTAGCATTGTGGGTGAGAACATATTGGAAATAAAACTTGAATCTTCTTCCTCTTCTTTTGGATCTTCTTCAACTTCGATTTCACCATGATTTGTTGTGGTTGTTGAATCTATAGGTTCATCAAACTCAACGGTATCAGCAGTTGGGTGTCCGTTACTATCTTCCTCAACTGGTATATCTTCATCAACGTCTATATCCATTTGGTCATCACTGTAATTCTCGTACTGATTGTATGATTGCTGGAAGTCAGTTGGCGAGTGGCGGGTAGCAAATAGATTCAGATGATTGCTTTTATCATCCAATGAAAGTGAATTTAGAAATAACCCATCTATATCATTATGATTATTGTATTGACTGTGTTGGACATTATAAAACGACATCTTCCTTTTCCCCCAATACTCTGTTATTCTATACTTCTATTTGGTAGTGATGACGTCAAAGTGAATAATTCGTAGATTTCTGTTGAATGTTTTGTTGATCCAGATTCTGCTGTGCGGCTCATTAATTTTTTCTATTTTCTGCGATGATGAGGCATCTCTTTAAAAAACCTACAGTTGATACTATTGATATCAGCCAGATACGATTAAGCAACAACTACAATGGGATCTAAGAGAAAGAGACAAGAGAAAGCGAAAGACTTTGTCAAGACTAAATTGAGAGTTGGTAAAACTGCCGCCAAACCGGACAATTACACCGATACATCCTTTGTTGCCAAAACCATCTCATTACCAAACCAATCCATATCCACCAGATCCACCACCACCAAGACTGCTACAACCACAAACAAATCACAAGATGTAGATTTATCCCACCACCTCTCCCTTACCAAGCATCATTCATCCACCACCAGAAAAGAAGTCCTAAACTACATAGAAAACCACCTCCCCTCCAATCCATCCTCGTATAAACAAATCCTCACCTCCACAATCCCGTTAATCCTCGACGAATCGGCCAAAGTTCGAACAGCACTCATGTCCCTCCTATCCGCCCTGGCCAAGAAACAACCGGGCTTATTAGACCTTCATATCCGTTCCATTATCCTATTCATAAATTCCGCCATGACTCATATTCAACCCGATATAAGACACTCATCTACCAAATTTTTGGATATTTTGATCGAACATGCAGGTGAAAGTTTGACAAAAGGATATTTTATCAAGATTATTAGGTCATATTTTACATTAATGGCCTGGAATTTGATTGAAGATAAGAAATCAAATTCGATTGCCATAAGTGCCAACACTGCCTCTCTTGGTGGTGGGACTAAAAAGGCCCGGATTGGACATTTAGAGGTCTTGAAGAAGTTCTTAAAAGTGTCATTGTTTGCTATGGATAATAGTGAAGAGCATGATATGGAAGGGTTGATAAGTGTACATCCGCAATCATATAGATATATACTCCAATCGATGGGGACTCCACAGGCTTATGCGTCGCTTAAATTGTTTGTTAAAGAATTACCGAAGAGACATGATGAAAGAGGTGGTAGCAGTGATGATTCATTTACGATTAAGGATTTGGATTCTATAAGTGCGGAAGACTTGGAGACTAGAAAGAAAGTTATGGTGGATGTGTTTATGAACCAGATGATTAAACACTTGAAAGGATTAATTAAAGAAGGTGGAGAAGTTGGGAGAGAAGCCAATTCCTGTTTATCCTTATTAGAAGAGTTGACTAAAGTAGAGTAGTATTAGTAGTACTGTAGTTTAATAGAGAGTTGCAATTGCAGTTGCAGCCAATTGAAAATTGTGAAAAAATTTTCTTCTTGTATTTTTTACACGACTTCGCAGCATCCTTCTTAATTAAAAACCATCAATGTCTCATACCACTCGTACTGAACCACTACATTCTCTTCACGTAATATGTTCGCTAGAATAGCATTAAGAAGGCTCAGCCCTTCGTGTCGTATCCTCGCCCAACCATCCTCCAAAATCCTTCCATCCATAATCACATCCGTCCCCACCCCTTCCCCAGTGAGATCATTCCATTCCACCTCCCCATCATTAGCGAAAAAGTCCAAAAACAAAAAGAACCAGCCAATTGAAGAAGAAGAAGAAGAAGTAACCGAAGACATTCCGGTCACTATAGATTTCGATGCCGTCACTTCAAAATTCGAAAAAACACTCGAAAAATTCTCAAAATCCGCTACGGAACTCAAACTAGGCAAAGCCAACCCAAAGATCTTCGACAACCTCCCAGTGGAAACCGCAGATGGAGAAGTCCCATTCAATACCATTGCGCAAACTAGTGTCAAGGGGAGACATTTCGTGATTACATTATTTGACCCAGCAAATGGAAAACATGTGATCAATGCCATTTTGGCTTCTGATTTGAATATGAGTGGTCAGATTGATCCTGCTAATAAGTTCGCCATTAAGGTGCCGTTACCTTCCTTAACAACTGAGACTAAGAAAGAAAGCGCAAAGGCTTTGAAGGAAGTGTTTGAGAAATATAAGCATGGAAAAGGTCTGGATTCATTGGCATCGGTAAGAACTCATTTTAGACATAAGTTTACTAAACATTTAAAGAAGCAAAAGCTTAGTGATGCTGAGAATAAGTTATTGAAGGAACTTGAGGATTTACATAAGAAGTATGGTGATAAATTGGCTGATGCTTTTAAATCTGCTGAAACCGCAATTCTTAAATAGACGTGCTTGTGTTCTATACCGTTGTATATATATATTTATAGGGTTTTTATACAGTTACTCCTTTTTGTATAAATAATCGTTTGTGATTCTTTTCACACCATTTAATGATTCGTAAGCTATGAGAAATCAAATCTTTTGAATTAACTTGTTTGACATCACTTACAAGACAATAAAATTCATAATTGTTATCAGATAACATGAATCCCGTTATGACATTCTTATTACAATTCCATTTCGAATATGTCAATTTCTTAAAATTATTCACCTCAAGCTTCTCGGGCGAATTAGCTGTATTCGTCACATTATAATAATTTGATTTCTTCATCTTGGTAGCTTTGGTATTATATAATGAACTGTAGAAATATACAAGTTGCAAAATACTACTCATGCTTTTATCAAAATGAATAAAATCACTCATTATAAATTGATCATATTTCTTCGATTTATATATGAAATGTTTTATAACCGGAACTTGAATGTCCCTAAGAATACTCAATTTCCCAGCAGTTTGTAATTCCCGTTTAAACTTCTCCAAAAATGTTCCATGACGACTAGTTTTAATACGGTTGATTATATAATTTGATGCTTGTCTCATATAATAGAACGAATTCTTGTTACTACTTATCAATATCACATTAATCGATTGTGCTTGCTCCAATTCAAAAGTCTTAACAAAGGTGTATAAAAATCCATTGGGGTTGAAATTCGGCATACATAATGGAATCCACATATCTTCCTCTGATGTTTCCTCCCCAGATTGGTCATTCATATTTTGGGAAGATTTGGAAGAATCAATAATTGAAAATAATAGTTTTAAATCTTCATTGGGGAGATTATGATTTTTGGGTTTCATAAAGCTTAATATTTTCCCCGTGGATGTTGTTATTATTGCAAATAATAAATCTGACGCTAGATACTTATCATTCTCATTCTTGATTCCTAATAATGAAGTAAATCTTTCTGATTTTATACTTATCCTATCATCATCCTGTTGTTGTGACTTTTGTTGGAGTGGGTTGTTTGGCGGATCATTTAGTTTTAATCGTTTACATTCGATTAGTATCTGATTCAATTTCATCCGAGTCGTATTTGATATTCGAACATTTTGTAATGAAGAATCTAATAATTCGCTTATAAAGAAATCAAAAGTTGAAGTATCATATAACAATTTATCAACACTTAAAGGTAATCCAAATGTCATTTTCATACATAATGAATCCAAATTATGAAAATCCAATTGTGTTAATACTCTTCTTAAATCATAATTTAATCTATTCTGAAAACTTCTCTCAATTGTAGGTTTGGACAAGATTGATAATAAATAATTATACAACGTATTCAATTGATTTATTAATGTAATATTTTCATTCGTATCATGATCATGATCAACCAGAAGTTCAACACTATGACTGATTTCATACGGCACTTTTGAAATACAAACCAATACCAATGGTGCCTTATTCAATGCTACAATCTTGACTTCATTATCTATATTAATCGATTTGATTTCCTCATGAATATTCTCTTCGAATGTTGAAAGAATGGTAGTTAGGATCCCCATATATCCCACAATCAATTCATCTGATCCATTCATGGAATATATTGGTTTACCAGCAGTTGAAAATATAAAGAAATGTTTCAATTTACGATGAAACTCATCCTTATCATTCTCCTTGGAGATTGCAATATGTTTTTGATAATGTTCATATTCATTGGTGATATTGTCAGGATTGGGAAACATGTTTAGGTTCAAATATGACATATGTTCATCGTCGTTCTCCTCTTCTTCATCGGTTATTCCACGTCGTGACGGTACCCTGATTGCTGATCTTGATTCATGTCGTATTAAATCTGTTAATATACTATGAAGATCTTCATCATCATCATCCTCTTCTTCTTGATGATTTGAATCCATATATTCTTCGGAGATTTCATCTTCACTAGTTAAATCTGATTGGAACCCACTTCTATTCAGTTCGACTATTCGTAGCCTTGGCTCATGTTCTTCATAGATTATATTATTTGTGGATGCTGCATTGGCTAAGGATACTGCGATTGTTGGCTGACTAGTGTTGGTACTTGTGGTAACTGAGGTAGAAAGTGACGGTAGTTGGATGGGGAGGGATTGAGTAGTTAAAGTTGATACTCTACGGAGTAAGAAGGGTATACTTGAAGATGTACTTGTGGTCGTGGTGCTGGTGGATGTTGTGGTCTTGGATGTATCTTCGGTTATCTCCCTCTCCATAGGAGTTGAATCATTCAATGACATTCAATGGGTTGGCTTCTACAAAGAAGTACACAACAAATTGGTTGTAAAAAACGGATTCTATTTTTCTGACTCGTTTAAAGAGAGAATGGAAGGGACTTAAACTATGGGGAGGCTAGACTACCATAGAAAAAACAGACAGAATAGCAGTCCAATTACACCCTGTCCAAAAGGGGTCACTTAGTCGTCTTTGAAGATTACAAAAAGTAATAGCTTAGTTTAACTATCCTTTATATGTAAGTTTATCTGCATGGGGATATGAAGTCACGTGACTCTAAAACCAATCGTATAGAATCCTGAACTATCTAATGGAAGAAGAGGGGGGGGGGGAATATCATCTAATAATCATTATATTAATAGTAAACAGGCTATCTCCTAAGGAACATATACCATATTAAGAATACAAACACTAAACCTAAACCAATGACCGGCACATATTGTCTTAACATTGCTTCAAAGTTTATCCTTTGAGCTCTCTTTCTATATTTTAAAGAATCACTTTTTAAACTTGAAGATAAATCACTCATTTTATCTAAAGTATCACCTCTATATAACAAGTCTTCAATATTCTTAGTCATGACATTTTTAACATCGGCTAAATCAGTATTTAATTTATCTAATTGAGATTGAGCCCTTTGATCTTGATAAACTTTCTTTGTTTTACGTAAGAAATTATCAAATGAATTGAAACCGAATGGTAAAGCACTTGAAGTTAATGCTTGACGTCCATGCATATTAGCAAACTCTTGTGATATTTCATTTAAATATGAAAATGCTAATTTTCTTGGATATTGACGTTCACAAATACATAAATAAATGATTGAATTTGTGATTAAATAATGAATGGTATAATCACCTGATTCAATAGAAGCTTGTGGTTCTGAATTGGGAGTAATTCTACTAATTAAGAATTTACTTTTCCTCTTTTGTTCTTGTAAAGTTGGATTATTATCATCATCTACTGATCCGCATAATGGAAGACCTATAAAAGTGAAATTGTTAGTGGGACTACCCAGTTGTAGTAGTGCTAGTAGTGGTAATAATTATACATACAGTCATATCTATAGATCAATGTAGAATGAATCATCTTTGCCTCTCACTCTCTCTATGTTGTATATATAGAAGAATATGAAAGGGCATGGGATGGCCGATGTATTAGAGAGTAAAGTACGTGTAATAAAATCAATTTGTTTGTTGAACTTTGTTGGTAGTACGACATTAGACATTCTTTAGTATGCGACATTATTTATTCCCCAAATTTATGCAACAATTGTTAAGTTAATAATAGTAACCAACTTCCCTTTCCCCCTGTTCTCTCCTTTGTTTAGACTAATATTTATAAAATAGAATGCAAAGCATCTATTGGTGACATTCAATACTGAATAACTTGTTATGTAGTTATGTATTTGGAAGAGGGGTAGGGGGGCAGGGGGTTATAGGGTGTATAAATATAAAGTCGGTTATTTAGTATGGATTGGAGGAGAGAGCGCTACTCAAATAGTTAAACTTCTTTCTCAATTGAGTCAACTGGAAGCTAATTATTATAGGCTTTAAATTAAAGATGCAAATGCAGTCTGAAACACAATATCCATATTAATAAATGGTAGCGCATTATTTTGTTACAAAGTAACGAGAAGAAAAATTTATTTAATTAAACGGAACGTGATGCTTAATTTAAATTGACCTGATTATTAATTTACACATAGAGACGAATACTTTTATAGAGTCTAATACATATTATTCATATAATATCATACACACAGCCACACAAAATGGATCTATCTAATTTATCCTCAAATCTTCCACTTTCAAAACCAGTCAATCAAACTTCATTAAATGAAGTAACACAAGAATTAACTATTGAATTTAAACACGCAGCTAAAGCAGTAGCAACTCTATATAACTCAGCCACCAGTAGTACCACTACTAGTAATACTACTACTACACCTCCACCCACCAAACAACTTAAATCTGAATTTGCAACTGCCGCAAGATCAGTAGCAGCCTTATATAAAATCACTCATAATTCAACTTCATTATTTCAATCTCATGGTTATTTACAATGTCTTGATGATTTATTACAAATAATTGCCACTGATGGTGATGTAGAGAATTGGGCATTGACAAGACGAGCAGAAATAACAAACACAAACAATTCATCTAATAATACTACTAGTTCCCAATCTTCCGATCCAATAGAGACAACGGATATATCGCCACGTACCCCTGCGGTGGAAGAGTCAATTCCTCAAGATTTCGAATTCTCAATTCTTCTGGATATAAAGCCACCTGTGAAGTTCATACCCACCGTCCCACCAATCTCAGTCCAACATACTAATAAACAACGCCAACATCATACCCATAATAGAAAACAAAAGTTGGAAAGGATTCAACGGAAATTGGTGGAAGAACTTCGAGATGGATCAGGATCGGATTATGAATCAGATACTAATGAGCGGAGTAAACTTAGATTAAGAAAAGAAGCTACGGGAGGTGGAGAGAGTCCGATTAAGAAGAAACAGAAATTGAATGAGTCTGATATATAAGGAGTTTTATATAGGAAAAGTTTTATTAATTTTATTGAAGTTTATTGGAGTTTTGTTTAGTATATAGGGTTAATATATAGAATGGAAATGCACAAACGAGAAATAACGTTTAGAGATAAGCCTACTTTACTGTGAATGGGATCTCTAGCGATGTTAAGCCCACTTCGGTTCTAATAATCCATTAGTCGTAGTCTCGTCTACGCGAGTGCCCAAGTACAAATGAACCATTCGATTACTAAAGAAATGTATTGTTCTCGTGATTGTCAAGCGAAGGAATGAAGATTGCTCGATCCTTCGCCACGGTCAAAGAACAAATGATTTTTTAGAAATTTGGGGCGTATATAAGGTTTTATTAGTATACATAATTTATGTAAAGTTTATCTACTCTGTTGAATGAGATGATACAGCTAAGAGATGAAGTTTAATAAGCAAACAATCCATCTTCATTTCCAGTATATTCATCTTCAAAATCACTATCAGTTTCATCGTCACTTTCGTCATCCTCATCCTCTTCATCACTCTCAGAATCATAAATCGCACTAGAATCCCCATTGTCTTCACCTCGTGCACCAGCCTCTCCATCAATCAATCCTTCCAAAGTCAAACATAACAAAGTATCACCTTTGGATTGAGTCCCCAGTGAAACCTCATTAGTCGATTCGACATTACAATTGGTTAATCTCGATTTATGTCCCACCACAACATCATGACCAATTATACAATTCTCTAATTGGACATCATCTTCAATCACAACCTTATCCAAAATCAAACAACCGGTTAATTTAACTCTTTTTCCAATGACACAATCCTTACCGATGACTGTACGTTTAACATTGGTCTTTTCGCCAAGGGTGGTGTTTTCACCAACTAATGAATCAATCCCGACATGTGCTGCCCCAGGAGCTGATTTATCTTGTTGTTGATGATGTTGGTTGTGGTGGCCCTTGGAAGATGCTTGCTGTTTCATGAAATAACGATTGGCTTCCATTAGGACGGGTAAGTTGTTACTTCTAAAAAAGGTAGCTTGATAAGGCACGATCAATAATCCAACGCTTTCTTTCGGGGTGGAATGTTTCCATGACCTTCTGGCTAAATCACGGATTACTTTAGTTATGGATCTTGATTTGAAATATTGATCAGTGAATTTTTCAGGATTGGCATTGAAGATGGGAAAGATTTTGGAAGTTGATCCAAAGAAGATAGTGGAGTTTAATAATTTGGTGGAGATTGTGGTGTTTGGATATCTCCAACACATTTGAGTACGGATTTGAATTGATTTATGAAAATCAATATCTTCTTTTCGATAAATATCTAATAAATTACATTTATTTCCTCCATTAATATCTAATTCCAGATACATCGTATAATTCTTCGGGAAGATTTTTGATTTCTTATCTTCAATATCAAATTGATTTCTATAATGAACTAAAATACCTAAATCTTCATCATCCTTATTCCTGTATGCTTCAATCAATACTTGCGGAGGAAGATTGGTTACGAAATCACATGGCAAAATCACGAAATCCAGACCATTTTCTTTCAAAAGTTCATTCTTATACAAATGTGCCAATATAGCACCACTATGATCAGTTTCAAATCCAACCACTTCAATCTCACCAACATCATCTCCATCCTCTCCTCCTTGTCCACCATCCCCATCTTCTCCATTCTCTTGTCTTGCATTCTTCCGATCTTGCCTCTTGTTAGATTGATATCTCTCCACAACATCATTAATAACATCTCGATCATCTTCAGAAGTCACGACAATCACTCGAGGGAAAAAGGCTCGATTACACCACTCTAATACATATTCGATCATTGGTCGATTGGCAATGGGGAGAAGGGCTTTTGGAATCCCGGTAGAACGGATTTGGGAAAAGGGTGATAATGCCTTCCCTTTGCCGCAGAAGATTACTGCTGTGAATTCCATTGCTTGGGTACTGGGTGTTGGGTTCGTTAAAGAGTGAAGGTGGTGGTGGTTGGATTTCGATCTCATCAGAGATTTTTTTTTCAGGTTAGTCAGAGAGAAGCATAGTGAGAGAAAGAGAGGAAGGACACAGACAACTTGAGCAATTGCGAAAATGAGTCGATGAAATGATGATTAACCAATTGCTACGTAGACCTACATAACATCTCCCGGCTTATAAGTAGGGCAATTGACTGTAGACAATTGCAGGATGGTAATAGGATTTAATCGTATTGTATGTATCACGTGATATATATTTTTCCAAAAGAGTCGTGTAATTCTGTTCAAAAGTCCAACGAAGGAAAAATTGCCACTACAATTTTATTTTCATCATCAACTTTGGTTGTTGCCATTAAAGCATCTGATTTATAGAACCTTATTGGATATAAACATCTTTAGTATAGATTCACAATTAATACCCAATTGAATTCACAACAATGAGTGCTGACGACAAGGATCCTCTTTTAGCTGCTTTAAATGCAGATGAACAACCTCAATTGCAACAACCTCAACCACCACAAGCAAATACGACTCCTACCCCAAGTCAATCTGTTGATCCAGAAAGAGAACGTGCTCTTTCCAAATTCAAAGATAAACTTCTCGAACACAGAAAATACGACGCTAGATTAAAAGAACTCAGATTGAGTATACGAGACCTAGAAAAAGATTTTGAAAAGACTGAAAATGACATTAAAGCACTTCAATCAGTTGGACAAATCATTGGAGAAGTTTTAAAACAATTAGATGACGAAAGATTCATTGTCAAAGCATCAAGTGGTCCACGTTATATTGTTGGATGTAGAAATACTATCAATAAACTGAAATTAAAGAATGGAATTCGTGTCTCATTAGATATGACAACTTTAACTATCATGAGAATCTTACCTAGAGAAGTTGATCCTTTGGTTTATAATATGACAACATTCGAACCTGGAGAAATCTCTTTCAATGGAATTGGTGGGTTGAATGAACAAATTAGAGAATTAAGAGAAGTTATTGAATTGCCATTGAAAAATCCGGAATTATTCACTCGTGTGGGTATAAAATCACCAAAAGGGGTTTTATTATATGGACCTCCAGGAACTGGGAAAACCTTATTAGCAAAAGCCGTTGCCGCCACCATTGGGGCAAACTTCATCTTTTCACCAGCTTCTGCAATTGTTGATAAATATATTGGTGAATCAGCTAGATTGATTAGGGAAATGTTTGCATATGCCAAAGAACATGAACCTTGTATTATCTTTATGGATGAAATCGATGCAATTGGTGGAAGGAGGTTTAGTGAAGGTACCAGTGCTGATCGTGAAATTCAAAGAACGTTAATGGAATTATTAAATCAAATGGATGGATTTGATTCATTAGGTCAAACAAAAATCATTATGGCAACTAATCGTCCTGATACTTTGGATCCAGCATTATTAAGAGCTGGTAGATTGGATAGAAAAATTGAAATCAGTTTACCTAATGAAGCTGGTCGTTTGGAAATTTTTAAAATTCATACTGCCAAAGTATCGAAACATGGTGAATTTGATTTTGAAGCCTTGGTTAAGATGAGTGATGGATTTAATGGGGCGGATATTAGAAATGTGGTGACTGAAGCTGGGTTTTTCGCTATTAGAGAAGATAGAGATTATATTATTCAGAACGATATGTTGAAGGCAGTTAGAAAGGTTGCTGATGTTAAGAAATTGGAAGGGAAATTAGATTATGAAAAGTTGTAGTTCATCCCCCATGGGGATTCCACCGTTTATATATTTATAACTTCATAAATAATCACTTAATACATAGCGGCTTTTTTTTATTTGAATGTATATTTACATGAATGACTATTAAAATCTATTTACTGAGATGCTTCAGGTGCAGCTTGAGACTTTTCAACTTGATTTGTTGTCTCGGTCGTATTCACTATCTCTTGCTCTTGCGTAATTGTTTCTGCCTCCTTCGCAGCTTCCAAAGTCTTTTCGAAATCTGGAATCTTCACCTTAGACAAAGCTTCCAAATGCATACGTAAATGTTCACTTTCAATCTTATTCATATGTGCAGCCATCTTTTCTCCAATAAACAATTTAACCTCTTCAGATAATGGTGTGATTCTCTTTTGAGCCTTATTTTCATCCTTTTGTTTCTTAGCCAAATAGATCTTTTGTTCTTTAGTCAAAGGCATCTCTGGAGCTGCAAGTCTATGAAGATGGAATTGAGTAACTTTTTGTCGTTTGAATGGAGAATATGGATTACGTAATTGATCCAAAGCGGCAGTTGGGAATGGTGATTTGCCAATTGTTTGAAGTTCATAAGTCTTTTCATGTACTATATGTTCAGGAGTAGATAATTCCCCATCTTCAAATGCATTAGGAGGATTTGGCCATGGGATTTCAATATTTGAATGATGTTTAATATATCTACGAGGAATCCATTTTCTATATTTATCATCATAATATTGTTCACCAAACTCGATTTCTTTAGCAACAACATAATTTATTTTCCCATTTTCATCTTTTTCTTTCCCAGCTAACCAAACTTCTGATCTTGGAGTTAATTTAGGAAATTCAACAACATGAGAAGTATTACCTTCTGGCCATTTACTCTTTGGTAAGACTCTCTTTTCAGTTGAATTGGATAACATCACACAATCACTGTCAGGCACATATGCCATCACTTCAGCAATCGTACCTTTCTTTGGACCACTTCTGATATATACTGAATCCCCTTTAGCTATTCCTACTTGAATTTCGGTTTTTTTGTCTTTTTCTTCAACTGTATCCCGATTTTGACTTTCAAAAGTGGGTAACATTGCTCCCTGCATTTTGTTGTTCCACATTTGTTTAAGGGATCCAGAGTATTTGGATGGATCCCTCTTCCATCTACTGCTGACACGAGACCACATGCTTTTTTCCTATTCAATCCCTGCTTTTTTGGCCGTAACTGGTTTATGGCTGTATGAATTTTGAAAAAGGTGAAAAAAATTGAATGAAAAAATTTTAAAATGAATCCAATTTTTGGTAACGATTACACGACTTATTTAGTTTACTATGGGATCATCTCTATTACTGATCAAAGACTGTTATATTAAACTACGGCAGGATAATAGAATCCGGGCATCGGGTAGAGAAATGACCTACAAGACAGATCAGCATTAAAAAATCTCGTGTATATTCTAGTGGTACAAATGAAAACTTTCAAGAATTGAATTTATCTCTAGTTCTAAAAGAGATAGTAAAACCAAGAAGGGTAAGCTGGGATCCGACGGTCGGAAGTTCCGTAGGTTGCGGGATAACATTACATTTCTATTCAGTACAGATTCTAATAAACTCTTCCTCGTTAATCTCTCCATCTTCATCCAAATCAAATTCATCAATCATAGCTCTTAATTCTTCTTCAGTCAAATTCTCTCCTAAATCTTTAGATATCTTTCTTAAATTCCTTAAACTTATCTTTCCAGTTTTATCTTCATCAAATAATTTAAACGCACGACGAATTTCTTCTAATGGATCCCTATTCAATATCATTTCTCCAACACTTTGATAAAAATTGTCATATGTAAGTAAATTAGTTCCATCAGTATCATATTCATGTATGAGATTCAATACTTCCCGTTTACTCAATTCAAATCCAAGTGCTTTAAAAGCAACTTTCGTCTCATGGAAATCCAAACATCCATCAGCATTCATATCGAAAATCAGAAACGCTTCTCTAATTTCATTCTTTTGTTCTTCAAGTAAGTCGTCAGGCGTGTAACTATTATTAGCTGGGTTTTTGTGATTATTCACACCTCCAAATCCTAAACTGGTTCCTCGTTTGGGATTTCCCTGTGTTCCTACTAATGGGTTGGTTGGATTATTGTTGGCCGCGGGTGTGCTGGTGGAGAATGGTGCCCCAGTCACCCCAACTCCAATTTGGCTACCTGGTTGATTCTGTGTATACTGATGATCTAACGGCTGCTGTTTCCGGGGAAATGACATATTTTTAAAAAAGATATATGTATCTGCTTTTATAATCTATAGATTCAACAGAATAATAATTGGTTGATGTTTATTTTTTGTTGTTTTTAAATTTCCTAAATCAATCTCATTTTTCTGATGGCATTTTGGTTAACTCGTTGGTCAAACATTAATTTACGTGTTGTTCATTCTTTCTTATACCCTTAGTAAATAATATATGTAGATGAGTATAGAACATCTACCACAGGATAGAGACAGACTTACGTGGTACTGTTCATGCCTCTACTAGAAGAATTACAAGGAATTCAATGGAAATCAACCCTTCAAATCGATTCCAGTTATTTTAGCAGAGATACAACAGAAAAGTATGAGCATCACGTTTTCAACTCCAACCCCTTTGTCATTTATTGAAGAGCAAAGCAATACTTCAAGTGGAAAAGGACTCTGCTTTGGGGTTACTTTTCAAAATTCTCCGAAATGGCTTATGATTCCCCGGGAATTATAGCGGTAAGCGTCGTTCTTTCTCTTGCATCGCTTCCTTAATTCCTTTGACGTCTAAGTAATTTTACATTTGACAGCACATCTTTCTCTATTCATCTTGGAGTATAACTTTACAAAGTAATACCGATCAAAAGTTATTTGTATGCCCTGCGAAACAAGAGAATTATAGAGTAGTAAGTTTCACCTCAATTAAAATCCATTGATGTTCTCGGGTTGATTTAACTTAGAATAAATCATTCATCGTTCTACTGCCTTAGACCGTGAAATTACAATATAATGAATAGCAGAAATGACACAAACTAGCTAACAAACTAAAACAAATAAATAAATCGAACGGTTATAAACTCTCATAATAAACATACCTAACATAATGCAATCAGGATTGTGGATCATACTTAGAGCATAAGCACACTAAACAAACAAACCCCAAACAAACATAGTAAGTACTCCATAAAGAAGGAGGAATACAACCCACCTGCAGAACCTACTGCAGGTGTCACAACAAGACTTACTTGGGGTGGAACTGTAGAACTAACTTGAGGAACAATCGTATTCGGGATTGGTGTTTCTGTCTCTACACTCAATACCGATGTGGTTCTGGCCAACAAACCCGAACCCACTACGGGAACTGTAACTATAATTGGTGTACCTAGAATCGTGATTGTCTCAGCTGTCAGTACTGCTGGAAGGTTTGGAGTAGTTTCAACAACTAGGAATGTAAAAGTTATAGCGGTGACTGTGCTTTCAATAGTGGTTGGGATAGCTGTAGTTGTTCTTCTAGTTTCTGGGCTAGGTTCTGTGGGCCGAGGTGATACAGGAGTTCGAGTAATTGGTTCGGTAATGGTGGTTAAGGTAGGTTCCACAGTTGTCTCACTAGTTAACGTAGTCAATGTAGTTTCAGAGGTGACTGTAGTTTCAGAGGTGATTGTAGTTTCAGTAGTCGTATTAGTTGTCGTTGTAAGAGTGGTTTGTGTTGACTGAGTTGTTTCAGTGGTAGTAGGGGATGTTACGGGACTAGGAGTAGTCGGTGACTCGGTAGGAGAAACAGGCGTGGTTTCCGGAGATGAGTCTGGTGTAGTCTCCGGTGTAGTTTTTGGCGTGGTCTCAGGTATGGTCTCAGACGTGGTCCTTGGTGTAGTCTCCGGTATAGTCTCTGACGAAGTCTCTGACGAAGTCTCTGACGAAGTCTCTGACGAAGTCTCTGACGAAGTCTCTGACGAAGCCTCTGGCGAAGTTTCCGATGTAGTTTCGGATGTTGTTTCTGATGGCGTTTCTGGTTTGGTCTCTGATGACGTTTCTGATGTGGTCTCTGGTGAGGTCTCTGGTGTAGTCTCTGGTGTAGTTTCAGGGGTGGTCTCAGGGGCGGTCTCTGGCGTAGTTTCCTCCGGTTCAACAAAGACTGTAATGGTGGTCCAATGTTCCTCAGAGATTGTAATTGTGAGTATCACAGTAGGACCATCCGAAATTGTCGAAGTAGCAATTGTCGCTAGTGTGTCCTGATCAAAATCAGGAATTTCATCGCAGGAACAAGGACAGAATTGACCTTCGATGATATCAGGATAGCAGATACGAAGAGATTCACCATCGAAATTCGTTGTGAATTTGTCTAACACGTATCCGGAACCAATATTAAAAGTATAATAAACTGTGGTTTCTCGCTTTTCAATCTGGTCTGGAGAATCGACAACCGCTATTAGATTTGGATCTTCGTACTGAATGCTATAATTTCCAGTAATGAGGATGCAGTTTGTGGCCCCGCTGAATTGAGCAACTGTATATGAATAGCCCGGCCTTCTAGCATGAATTTCACAATTCTCACCGGACATGCAGATGGTAGAGCCTAACGAAGATTGAACCAATAAAGCCGAGTCATCGTTGATAACGACACAACCCTGGGAATTGAGATCGCTGCGCCTGACGTAAAGAAATACATTTGTGATGCATATTGTACCAGTATTCGTTACCTCGTCCAAAATTAGAATACCTTGAATTCCATCCACGACCAAAACTAATTGACCCACGTTTTCAAGGGACTCGATTTCTAAGTCAGGTGCTTGTTCGCGAGACATCCATAAGGCTAAAAGTCCAGTATTCGATATACTTCTTATATCAATGCTTGTGAAATACATGCTCCGGCGAGTATTGATATGAAATTCGCCTCCGTTTTCTAAGAAGCCAACACTGAAGCTCACTTCTAAATTTGGGAATGTAGTATAATAAAAGACATCCCCAAGATTAAAAAGCTGATTAACGGAGACATTCTGAACATCAATTAGTGTCCAAATATCCCCTTCGTTAAGGCCGACCCTCTCGCTGCTAAATTCTCCCCCTCTTTGAGTAGGTTCATCTATGTTGACGAAACAATTAACGAAGCATTTCAGAAGTATCAATAGTAAAATAGTTGCCGAATTGCGAAAACTCATGGTCCTTCGATTTCAATTGAAGAAAAGAAGAAGCCGGATTCAAACTGAAAATAAAGGATTTGCGGTACTTAAGATGGTGTAAAATATCCAATCTCATTGCAAATTACTTCTTTGTTAATCCCCTATTTTTCCCCTTTGACTTCATAAGAACATAATGAGGACTTGAAATAAAATTTGTAAAATAATTAAATTATTTTCTATAATAATTAGTTAACTCTGAAAAGTAATTACAATTATGAAAAATATTTTTTGCAATTGCAAATTTATGTTGTGAGTATTTATTTGAAAAAGTTTACAAATTTATTCCTAAAATTCTTATCAGCTTTCTCTCAAAAGACTTTAATGATTCCAAAAAAACTTCTTTTTTATAAATCAAATTAACTGTATCAGATACACTGAATGGTAAATATTTTGGTTTATTAACCTTCGAGATATAGAATAGAAAGGAACCCCCCATATATTTTATCTCTTTGTTTCATCTAAAAAAAACTGTTCGATTATTGTATATCGGAGCGCGTATCGGAATAGTAATATGCCGTACCTTC